CTACCTACCATTAAGGTAGGGATGTCCCAACATAGTGCTTATAACCCTAAACCCTAAACCCTAAACCCTAGAACAAGAGCCGGCGAGCCGAAGAGACGGGAGACGGTGGCAAAGGTAGCACCGTCCCGGAAGTGCCTGGGCTCTTGGTCTCCTCTAGCGAATCTCTAAGGGCTCCTTTAAGGGTTCCTTCAAAATGGGCTCCTTTAAGGGATCTCGATAAGGGTTCCTTTCAAGGACCTCTAAGGGTTTAGGCTTCGGATTTCAGGTTTAAGGGTTTTGGGGCTAAGGAATCTTACACGAAACCCAGGTGCGCACGGTGACATTCCTCGCAGACGACGGCCACACGGCCGCGTCGAAGGACTCCTTCGAGCAAGCCTGTCATCGGTCGTCCGCGTTGCGTGCGAAGTCGTTCCAGCCTCGGCTCTGGCCCTGTACTTAAAGGACCATGGGACTTAGTAACTGTAAAGGGCTCCTTAATGAACCTGATTAAGAAACCTTAGGCCTTTATTAGGGCTCCTTGTTATCCCTACTATTTTGGGGTTACAGGCCCAGGGTTTCTTGATCAGGATCTTACATTACACCTCGTGAAGAATGATCGTATATGAGATCCTCCTAGGCCCACTGAGACAAACAAAAAATATCCCAAAGGCCTACCTAGCAGCTTTTGTTTGGTTGTTACGACCGTGAAGCACTTCCGCCGCCCGGGGCGCAGGGTGGCCAGCAGCGCTTTGGCAAGGCTGTTGCCTCTCTTCTTCAACAACCGGGCCCCAAAAAGTTCAAACTTTCTACGATAGAAACCCTAAACCCTAAACCCTAAACCCTAAACCCTAAACCCTAAACCATATCAGGCCCAAAAGCAAAAAGTTCCTCCAATCACTAAGTTGCGACTGTCATCTGCACGCCGGATGTTCTCCGCATGGCATCCGTTCCGGAGGAGAAACTGCTCCACCGTATCTCCCAACCTCGCATGACCCCAAACCCTACTTAGAGGATCATGGGACTTAGTAAGTAGGTTATAATTGGTGTTATAAGGCCCCTAAGTGGGGTTATCCTAATTATAACCTACTTATAACCTGCCTTACTAAGTCCCATGAGCCTTCAAGTAAACCTGACAGTCGAAGCTCTAAGCCTCAAACCCGTCAACCCTAAGCCCTAATCCCGAAAACCCTAAACCCTGGGCCTCAAAACCCTAAAAGCCTAAAACCCTACACCCTAGGCTATACCCCAAAACCCCAACACCCTGAAACCCTAAACCCTACGCTCTAACCCCTAAACCTGGAGCAAAAACCTGGAACCCCCACCACCCCCTCCACCAAAGAACGCAAAATAAATGTAAACACAACCTAAACCCTTATAGATTCTTTAAAGGAGCCCTTCTAGTATTCCCTTAAAGGGACCACTAGCAATTCCTTAAAGGAACCCCTACTTAAAGGGTCATGGGCCTTGGTAACTAGGGTTATAAATAAGGTAGCTATACTTATAATTACTTGTAACCCCAATTAGGGTCCTTCTAACCTTATTTACTCAAGTCCCGTGACCCTCCAAGTAGACCCTAAACCCTAAACAAAACCCTACGGATCCCTTTAAGGAACCCTTTATAGATCCCCTTAAGGAACCCTTTAAAGATCCCTTTAAGGAACCCTATATAGATCCTTTTAAGGAGCCCTATATAGATCCCCTTTAAAAACCCTCTATAGATCCCTTTAAGGAACCCTATATTATCCCTTTAAGGAGCCCTATACAGAACCCCAAATAGATCCCTTTTAAGGATCCTTCAAGTACTTGAAGGCTCATGGGACTTAGTAAGAAAGGTTATAAGTAGGTTATAATTAGGATAACCCCACTTAGGGGACTTATAACCCCAATTATAACCTACTTACTAAGTCCCATGATCCTCTAAGTAACCTAAACTACCCCCTATAGAACCCTTATATTATAGATCCCTAAACCCTTTAAGGAGCCTCTTAAGGAACCCTAAGTCCCATGATCCTCTAAGTACGGCCGAAACGAGGAGCTGACGGTCAAGCTGGAGCCGATCCGTCAGCAGCAGCACAAGACTGAAGCCCCAGCCCTGGCTGGGTCTTTTAGGGCGGCTTAAGGCGTTTAGGGCGGTTTAGGGTTTTTAGGGCGTTTAGGGTTTTAGGGTTTGGGGCGTTTAGGGTTTAGAGTTTAGGGTTTTACGGTTTAGGGTTTAGGGTTTTACGGTTTAGGGTTTAAGGTTTGGGGTTTAGGGCATGCCTTCGTCTGCCTTCCTGAGGACGGGTTTAGGGCTTAGGGTTAGGGGGCAGCGGGCTTAGTAAGTCGTCTATAAGTAGGGTTATAATTGGGGTAACTCCATTTAGGATACTACTAACTCTACTCCTAACCCACTTACTAAACCCCCTGCCCCTCCAAGTAGGTATATGGTTTAAGGGGTTTCGGGGTCTTCTCAGTTCCGTTTCAAGCTGGGTGTTTAGGGCATCAGGTTTATGGTTCAGGGTGTAGGCTGTTTCGGGCTTTCCGATTTAGAGCTGGGCTGTTTCGGGACGGCCTCACAGTCCTGGAGACCACTTAAGCAGTGGACCAACCATGCCATCGTCGCCGACTTGCCGCCGCCTGCTTTGAAATCAGCCTAAAGATCTGGTACTGTTGTCGTCGATAGATTGAAATGATAGCTGAAGTAGCGAAGCTTTAGATACCTCAACTAGTAAGTATGGTATTGTTGTCGTTAATATATTTCAGGGCTCAGAACCCCAAAATGGCACAAGCAGGCATGGTGAGGCAGTCCAGAAACCTAGTCCAGTGGCCCTATCCCTAAAACATAAACCCTAAAAACCCTAAACCCTAACCCTAAAAACCCTAAAAAACCCAAATAAAAACCCTGCACAACCCTAAAAACCCTAAAAACCGCTGAAAGCCCCTAAACCCAGTCCTGTGGCATGCTGCACCAGGAGGTTCTCCTGGAAACCCAGCGGCCGCTGAAGATGGCGCAGCAGGCAAGAAACAGCCTGTTTTCATGATTAGGCTAAGGCCCCAAAGTAGTTCCTTTAAGGTAGTCCCAAAAATAGAAGCCCCTTACAGGTAGGTAGTTCCTCTTCCATAGTACTCCCATAAGACCCCCTTTACCTTATAGGAGTGGTATGGGAGGCTTATGGGAAACTACCCACCTTATAACTACCCACCTGTAAATGTCTTAAAAAAAAGGAACTACTTTGGGGCCGATGGGTAGCAAGGATCTCTAGGGTTGGGGTTTAGGGTCTACTTTCATTAGCCTAAGGCCCCAAAGTACTTCTTTTTTGGGGGTTCATATTGCATGATCCTTTAAGTACTTCCCCAACAAGCCACAGAAATAGAGTTTAAAATTTCCAGTTACTACGAAGCCATAAGAAGCCAGAACGTACAAAAGTTGGTATTGGGGAACCAAGTTAGAAGCCCCTAATTCCTAAACCCTATACCCCCGTCTCGCCAACCCTAGGCAAAGCCCTAAACCCTAAACCTAAATCAACGGGGAACAGGAGGGACCCTTAATGGGGACCCCTACCCTATTATGGGCTATGTATAATGGGTATATAATAGCTATATTAAGGGTAGAATACCTAGGGGTGCCTATTAAGGGTCCCTCCTTTTACCCTTGGACTAAAACCGAAGATCCGATACCCCTACAATCCTAAGCCCAAATCCCCAGACCGTAAAGCCTTAAACCCTAACCCCTAAAGGCCTAAAAAGCCCTAAACCATAAACCCCAAACCCTAAAGAGCCCAAACCAGGGTTGCCAGAGACTCCAAAACCCCGTAATTAAGGAATACGCCTTTAATCTTATTCGGGACACTGCTATACTCTAGAGTAGAAGCCAGAAAGTTGGAACATGGGTTCAGGAGGATTAGTGAAAGGAACCCTTATACTTTACCTTAAGGGCATGAGGATAATGATGTTCCAACTTTCTGGCTTCTACTCTAAGCTACCTTCCTTAACTACCGGTTTTGTTGGGTGTCTAAATTTGGGAGCCCCCAGGCCTCCCGCTGGTGCTTCCAGGGAGCTTGGCCTACGCCACGAAGGAAAGCCTCGTCCGTCTGAGGCCCATCGTCCTGGCTTTAGGGTTAAGGGTCTAGGGTTTAGGGTTTAGGGTTTAGGGTCTAAGGTTTAGGGTTTAAGGTTTAGGCTTTAGGGTTTGGGGGTTTAGGGGTTTAGGATGTCATCGTCCTGGACGTACTTGGGGACTTAGTAAATATGGTTATTATATATAAGTACCTTAATTGTGGGCATAAGTAAGTGTGAGTATGGTTAATTACCTTATTTACATCCCCAGTTATATACTTAGTCCCACGATCCTTTAAGTGCATGTAAAAGGGGCACTTAAGGGCTCCTTTAAGGGCTCCTTTAAGGGTGTTTCTGGGGCTTGCTTGAAGGGCTGCGTTAAGGGTTCCTTGAAGGGTGCCTCTGTGGCTTACTCTGAGGTTCCTTATAAGGTTACTTTAAGGGTTCCTGAATTGGTTACTTGAAGAGTTCCTTGAAGGGCTCCTTTAAGGGGGTAAGGGTTTCTGTAAAGGGTTCGTTTAAACGAGCTCCTTTGAAGGTTCCTTTGAGGCTTACGTTGTGGGTTCCTTTCAGGTTTCCTTTACGAGGGTCCTGTACTGGCTCTACACGGGCTCCAAAACGGGGTGGTTCAGGATTGCTTGAAGCATCAAGGGACTCAAGGGGTTGTGAACGGTTACTTATAAGTAATTACTACTCTAAGTCCCCTTATCCTCCAAGCAGAGAGCAACATCCTCAACCGTCGAGGGGTTTGGGGTTTAGCTTTTTTGGGGCTTAATCTTGATCATATCTCTGCGATGTCTGATAGAGCCTCCGAAGACAACTCCAGCTGGCACGTGTTCAGCCTTTCAAGACGCGAAGGGCTCTTTGCCGAGGTCTTCTCCCACCGAGGAGGTTGAACTGAGGAACTAACACTGACAGCAAGCAGCAAGCACAGATGCGTGTGCCCTGCATGCCCGAGAGAACCTGCTTCTGCACGACAGCCACTCTCACACGAAGGTCTCTTCCGTGACTCCATCCATGCTAGCTGTCATGCTGTAGCCCGCACTCAGAATGTTTCTCTGCACCAGATCATCTGTCTTGTCACTAGCAAACCCTTTTGTCATGATGCCCTCATAGAAAGTGCCCACAGCCCAGTTGCTGTTATCTCCCCCGATACCTAGAATGATTGCGCCCTGCTTCTTCATGACCTCGTATTTTGCCGGGCGCTTGCCATCATAGAGAGTCTTGAGCGTCTTCTCCGAAGGCAGGTTTCCGCCTTTTGCCGTGGCATCCGCGTGCTTGAGAGCAAAGCGGTTCTTCGTATCCCCCTTTACCTTGGCTGACTTCTGAACCTCTTATTACAGTTCAAGAAGAAACCCCAAAATGCTAAGTCCAAACTAAGAGCCAGCCAAGTTACCATCGCCGTCACAAAGTCACTGTGAATGGGTGTGTTTCCCGGGCTCTCTGCCCCAGTGCTTCCGGCCCAGAGTCCATCCTCCAAGTCAGCCATGACCCAAGGCCCATCCTGCACTTAGAGTTTAGGGGTTTGGGCTCAGGTATAGCGTCGGGACTTCTATACAAACCGTACTAATGTAGACAAAAAATAGGACTTGTCAACAAGGTCTTGGGGAACCTTACAGCAGAATTACTACACCTAAACCCCAAACCCTAAACTCTAAACCCTTATAAGACTAAGAAAAACACTACACCTAAACCCCCAACCCTAAACTCTAAACCCTTAAAAGACTAAGAAAAACACCAAAACCCACGTCCTCTGCCCCATGACTGCCTTCAGTGTTCGAGCCAAAATAGATGGCCTCCATCGTGCCGGGACCATGGTCAAGATTGTCCACCTCAGGAGCTTTCCGTTCAAATTTTTAACCATGAAGCTCTTGATTTTTTAGGGGGCTTAAGGTTTGGGGTTTAGGCTTTTGGGGCGAATAGCCGTAGGATCTCAAACTATGGGGCTTCTGAGTTTCTGCCAAGGCACCTCGGCATTGCCGTAGTCGAAGCAGCACTTGCCATTGTAGTGCTTCCCTGCCACGACCATGTACATCGATTCTGGCTCGTCACCAACTGCTATGTTGCTGGTGTTGTCATTCCTGCAATGTAGGGACCTTAATAATTGGAATAGGATTTGGGGGTCAATTATATTATAATTATGTAATGAGGAACCCCCCAAAACCCTGTTGACACTATTCGCACCCCCCTCCTGTAACCCATGCCACCCTCGAACTTGGCGCCGTAGACGGCGCGAAGCCTTTTGGTGGACTGGTCCAAGGCAAAGATGCGATTTGCAGCTGCATCAACGCCCTTGTCGGGAGTTTTCACAGCGCCGCCGGCAGGTGCAAGAGCCAAGTGGTTCTTACTCGGCGACTGGTCGTAGATTCGAAACACAATGCAGGAGTCTTGCTCACAAAAGGAGTCTTGGAGAGAGGAGTCGGCGATACCCGCGCCGGGAAGCACAGAAATGTCCTGCGTAGCACCCCAGAGAGCCCAATACCCCTTGATTTTATGGAATATACCTTAAATCATATTGAGGATCCTACTACAATTAGGGAATATTCCTTAATTCAAGGGTATTGGAGTCTCTGGGAAGCACCGAAATCTCCTTAGTAGCACCGTCCGAAGCTCTCTTCACTTGATACAGCGCTCCAGAGTACGCTCCGTACAAGGCACGGGTCAGGGAGTGCGCGGCGACGCAGGGGGTGTTGCCTGGGCTCGTGTTATAAGGGATTGATTTAAGTTACCATAATACAGAAACCATAATGTTTACCATAGATCCCTATTACGGTTTCTTAACGTACATCTCTTAACAAGAACCCAATTGCCTTCGGCGTAGATGTCGCAGGGCCCCTTCAGGTCCGAGGACCTCGCCAACACCAGCAGCGATACGAAGAGAAAGCCGCCAGCCATGGCCCTCTTGCTTTCCAAAATCTGTTCCTAAGTGATAAGGGCTCTAGATTACGAAAGACCCCAAATCTTGCGCATGTTCTTCCGATTGATGCCCTGCTTACTTTGCGGCATGCAATATCCGGGTGCGTGGCATTCCGTGGTTCTTCCTGACCACAAGCATCAAGGCAAAAAACCTAGAATGTGTCGGTAAGTCTCTAAATTAGGGCCCCTTGTTGGGTACCCTAAGTATTAGGTGCCGACCCAAGAAGGGAGCCTAATATTGACAACCGCCCATGTAGAAACCTTAAAGCCCTACCCCCTGAATCAGAAGAGCATGAAGCTCAGTGTGATGTAGCTGAGGTCGGCGTCCTTCATCTCTCGCGCTTTGCGAAGCCATGTCCACAGCCCATGGCTTGTAGAAGTCTCACACTTTAGGATTTGAGAGCTTCCCCTAATATAGTACCTAAATAGTAGGATCCTTATTATAAGCACCCCAATATAAGGCACCCTAATTTTCAGAAACTCCCATTTAGGGTTTCGAGATCAGGCTTCAGGGTCTCGAGTTGAAGGCTGACGATCTTTCGATTTGTTGGTTTCTTGGTTTTCGGTTTGGTTTTTTTTGGACTCCTTTTTCCTAGGGGTTTTCGGTGTTTTGGGGCTTTAGGGTTTGTGATTTCCAGGGTTTTCGGTTTCTAGGATACCCAGTAACTTAAGAATAAAAAGGCCTCTCTTTTCGATATTGGGTAGCTTTATAAGGAACCTAGGACTACAAAAAGGGAATAAGGGTACTACTGGGCATCCTAGTTTTGCTTTTTTTGGACTCCTTTTTCCTAGAGGTTTTCGGTGTTTTGGGGCTTTAGGGTTTGGGATTTCCAGGGTTTTCGGTTTCTAGGATACCCAGTAACTTAAGAATAAAAAGGCCTCCTTTTTGATATTGGGTAGCTTTATAAGGAACCTAGGACTACAAAAAGGGAATAAGGGTACTACTGGGCATCCTAGTTTTGCTTTTTTTGGACTCCTTTTTCCTAGGGGTTTTCGGTGTTTTGGGGCTTTAAGGTTTGGGATTTCCAGGGTTTTCGGTTTCTAGGATACCCAGTAACTTAAGAATAAAAAGGCCTCTCTTTTTGATATTGGGTAGCTTTATAAGGAACCTAGGACTACAAAAAGGGAATAAGGGTACTACTGGGCATCCTAGTTTTGCTTTTTTTGGACTCCTTTTTCTTAGGGGTTTTCGGTGTTTTGGGGCTTTAGGGTTTGGGATTTCCAGGGTTTTCGGTTTCTAGGATACCCAGTAACTTAAGAATAAAAAGGCCTCTCTTTTTGATATTGGGTAGCTTTATAAGGAACCTAGGACTACAAAAAGGGAATAAGGGTACTACTGGGCATCCTAGTTTTGCTTTTTTTGGACTCCTTTTTCCTAGGGGTTTTCGGTGTTTTGGGGCTTTAGGGTTGGGATTTCCAGGGTTTTCGGTTTCTAGGATACCCAGTAACTTAAGAATAAAAAGGCCTCTCTTTTTGATATTGGGTAGCTTTATAAGGAACCTAGGACTACAAAAAGGGAATAAGGGTACTACTGGGCATCCTAGTTTTGCTTTTTTTTGGACTCCTTTTTCCTAGGGGTTTTCGGTGTTTTGGGGCTTTAAGGTTTGGGATTTCCAGGGTTTTCGGTTTCTAGGATACCCAGTAACTTAAGAACTAGAAGACAATTGGCCCGAAAGCATCATCAGCGAAGAGTGTTACGCTACGTCATAGAATCCAGTGTATAGGGTCATAGAGTCACCGAGTCAAAAGCACGGAGTCACAGAGTCGGAGTGTCACATACAGTCAAGAGTCGTACAAGTCATAGTTCATAGAGTCATCGAGAAATAGAGTCGAGTACATGTCAAGCACAAGTCATAGTTCAAAGAGTCATAGAGTCATATAGAGTCATAGAGTCACAGTGAGACAGAATCATAGAGTCATAGTGTTATAGAGTCATAGCGTCAGAGTGAGAAAGAGTCATAGAGTCATGGAGTCATCTATGTACCACGCACTTGACTTGATGTAGTTCACTCTATGAACACTAATGTTCAGGTTTAGCGGGTTTAGAGTATAGTCCAACATGACGCAGAAGTCTTCCTTTCCTAGCTCCGGAACCTCACTATATAGACATCCCTGATTACTGTGGTTTCAACGTGACTCTATGACTCTATGCATGGTCACTTTATGTCGCAGCAGTAGTAGTAGTAGTAGTAGTAGTAGTAGTAGTAGTAGCAGTAGCAGTAGTAGTACTAGCAGTACCAGTACTAGTAGTAGTGATAGTGGTGGTAGTCGTAGTAGTTGTAGTAGTAGTCGTCGTCGCGTAGTCGCAGTCGTGGTCGTAGTAGTAGTAGTAGTAGTTGTAGTTGTTGTTGTGGTACTAGTAGTAGTAGTAGTAGTAGTAGTAGCAGTAGTAGCAGTAGCAGTAGTAGTGGTAGTAGTAGTGGTAGTAGTAGTAGTAGTAGTAGTAGTACTAGTAGTAATAGCAGTAGTAGTAGTAGTAGTAGTAGTAGTAGTAGTAGTAGTAGTAGTAGTAGTAGTAGTATTCTTTTGTAGTAGTGGTAGTAGTAGCAGTAGTAGTAGTAATAATAGTTATAGTAGTGGTAGTGGTAGTAGTAGTACTAGTACTAGTTCGAACACTCGACAACGCCAATTTCTGTGAAGGGTTGCAAGTTTCACCTCAATGCACATCAAAAGTAATAACTTTACCTCGCGTTCGAACACTCGACAACGCCAATCTGTGTGAAGGGTTGCAAAATTCATCTCAATGCACATCAAAAATTGCAACTTTACCTCGCGTTCGAACACTCGACCACGCCAATCCCTGTGAAGGGTTGCAAAATTCATTTCAATGCACATCAAAAATTGCAACTTTGCCTCGCGTTCGAACACTCGACCACGCCAATCCCTGTGAAGGGTTGCAAAATTCATCTCAATGCACATAAAAATTGCAACTTTACCTCGCGTTCGAACACTCGACCACGCCAATCCCTGTGAAGGGTTGCAAAATTCATTTCAATGCACATCAAAAAATGCAACTTTACCTCGCGTTCGAACACCCGACCACGCCAATCCCTGTGAAGGGTTGCAAAATGCAAATCCCTGTGAAGGGTTGCAAAAAAAGTTGAACTGCACCCAAACCCTGTGAAGGGTTGCGCGGCGCCCGCAAGAAGTGTAACTTTACCTCGCGTTTGAACGCCCGAGGAGGCGAATCCTTGTGAAGGGTTGCGCGGCGCCCGCAAGAAGTGTAACTTTACCTCGCGTTTGAACGCCCGAGGAGGCGAATCCCTGTGAAGGGTTGCGCGGGCACCGCAAAATGTGTAACTTTACCTCGCGTTTGAACGCCCGAGAGTTCCAATCCCTGTGAAGGGTTGCGCGGTGCGCCTAAAATGTGTCACTTTACCTAGCGTTTGAACGCCCGAGGCAGCGAATCCCTGGGAAGGGTTGCGCCGGGCGCCTAAAATGTGTAACTTTACCTAGCGTTTGGGCGGTCGAGGAGGCGAATCCCTGGGAAGGGTTGCATTCCCGATGGACGACGACGGTGCCACCCCTGGCTTTAGAAGAGAGATTTAGATACCGAGATGTAGAGAGTATGTAGAGAGGTAGAGAGTAAGTCAGAGAGTAAGTCAGAGAGTAAGTCAGAGAGTAAGTCAGAGAGTAAGTCACAGAGTAAATCACAGAGTAAGTCAAGAGTAAGTCACGAGATGTAGAGAGTATGTAGAGAGGTACAGAGTAAGTCAGAGAGTAAGTCAGAGAGTAAGTAAGTCAGAGAGTAAGTAAGTCAGAGAGTAAGTCACAGAGTAAGTCACAGAGTAAGTCAAGAGTAAGTCACAGAGTAAGTCACAGAGTAAGTCACAGAGTAAGTCAAGAGTAAGTCACAGAGTAAGTCACAGAGTAAGTCACAGAGTAAGTCACAAGTAAGTAAGTAAGTATCAAGTGTAGAGTCAAGTATCAAGTGTAGAGTAAAGTATGGAGTCAAGTAAGTTGATTCTATGTCTGTCATCTATGTACTCAACTGCGGCGTTCCACACGGAAGAACCCTTCGCGAAGCTTTCGGGAATAAAAAGGCCTCTCTTTTTGATATTGGGTAGCTTTATAAGGAACCTAGGACTACAAAAAGGGAATAAGGGTACTACTGGGCATCCTAGTTTTGCTTTTTTTGGACTCCTTTTTCCTAGGGGTTTTCGGTGTTTTGGGGCTTTAGGGTTTTGGATTTTCCAGGGTTTTCGGTTTTTAGGTACCCAGTAACTTAGATAAAAAGGCCTCTTTTTTGATATGGGTAGCTTATAAGGAAACCTAGAACAAAACGGGAATAAGGTTACTTAATGGGCATCCTAGTTTGCTTTTTTTTGGACTCCGTTTTCCTAGGGGTTTTCGGTGTTTTGGGGATTTAAGGTTTGGGATTTCCAGGGTTTTCGGTTTCTAGATTTGTTTTTTTACCCAGTAAATTAAGAAATAAAAAGGCCTCTCTTTTTGATATGGGTAGCCTTATACGGAAACCTAGGACTCAAAAAGGGATAAGGGTACTACTGGGCAATCATAGTTTTGCGTTTGTTGGGACTACTTTTTCCTAGGGGTTTCGGTGTTTTTGGGGCTTTAGGTTTGGGATTTCCAGGGTTTTCGGTTTCTAGGATACCCAGTAACTTAAGAATAAAAAGGCCTCTCTTTTTGATATTGGGTAGCTTTATAAGGAACCTAGGACTACAAAAAGGGAATAAGGGTACTACTGGGCATCCTAGTTTTGCTTTTTTTGGACTCCTTTTTCCTAGGGGTTTTCGGTGTTTTGGGCTTTAGGTTTGGGATTTCCAGGGTTTTCGGTTTCTAGGATACCCAGTAACTTAAGAATAAAAAGGCCTCTCTTTTTGATATTGGGTAGCTTTATATAAGGAACCTAGGACTACAAAAAGGGAATAAGGGTACTACTGGGCATCCTAGTTTTGCTTTTTTGGGACTCCTTTTTCCTAGGGGTTTTCGGTGTTTTGGGGCTTTAGGGTTTGGGATTTCCAGGGTTTCGGTTTCTAGGATACCCAGTAACTTAAGAATAAAAAGGCCTCTCTTTTTGATATTGGGTAGCTTTATAAGGAACCTAGGACTACAAAAAGGGAATAAGGGTACTACTGGGCATCCTAGTTTTGCCTTTTTTTGGGACTCCTTTTTTCCTAGGGGTTTTCGGTGTTTTGGGGCTTTTGGGTTTGGGATTTCCAGGGTTTTCGGTTTCTAGGATACCCAGTAACTTAAGAATAAAAAGGCCTCTCTTTTTGATATTGGGTAGCTTTATAAGGAACCTAGGACTACAAAAAGGGAATAAGGGTACTACTGGGCATCCTAGTTTTGCTTTTTTTTGGACTCCTTTTTCCTAGGGGTTTTCGGTGTTTTGGGGCTTTAGGGTTTGGGATTTCCAGGGTTTTCGGTTTCTAGGATACCCAGTAACTTAAGAATAAAAAGGCCTCTCTTTTTGATATTGGGTAGCTTTATAAGGAACCTAGGACTACAAAAAGGGAATAAGGGTACTACTGGGCATCCTAGTTTTGCCTTTTTTTGGGACTCCTTTTTTCCTAGGGGTTTTCGGTGTTTTGGGGCTTTTGGGTTTGGGATTTCCAGGGTTTTCGGTTTCTAGGATACCCAGTAACTTAAGAATAAAAAGGCCTCTCTTTTTGATATTGGGTAGCTTTATAAGGAACCTAGGACTACAAAAAGGGAATAAGGGTACTACTGGGCATCCTAGTTTTGCTTTTTTGGGACTCCTTTTTCCTAGGGGTTTTCGGTGTTTTGGGGCTTTAGGGTTTGGGATTTCCAGGGTTTTCGGTTTCTAGGATACCCAGTAACTTAAGAATAAAAAGGCCTCTCTTTTTGATATTGGGTAGCTTTATAAGGAACCTAGGACTACAAAAAGGGAATAAGGGTACTACTGGGCATCCTAGTTTTGCTTTTTTTTGGACTCCTTTTTCCTAGGGGTTTTCGGTGTTTTGGGGCTTTAAGGTTTGGGATTTCCAGGGTTTTCGGTTTCTAGGATACCCAGTAACTTAAGAATAAAAAGGCCTCTCTTTTTGATATTGGGTAGCTTTATAAGGAACCTAGGACTACAAAAAGGGAATAAGGGTACTACTGGGCATCCTAGTTTTGCTTTTTTGGGACTCCTTTTTCCTAGGGGTTTTCGGTGTTTTGGGGCTTTAGGGTTTGGGATTTCCAGGGTTTTCGGTTTCTAGGATACCCAGTAACTTAAGAATAAAAAGGCCTCTCTTTTTGATATTGGGTAGCTTTATAAGGAACCTAGGACTACAAAAAGGGAATAAGGGTACTACTGGGCATCCTAGTTTTGCCTTTTTTTGGGACTCCTTTTTTCCTACGGGTTTTCGGTGTTTTGGGGCTTTAAGGTTTGGGATTTCCCAGGGTTTTCGGTTTCTAGGATACCCAGTAACTTAAGAATAAACCCTAAACCCTAAACCCTAAACCCTAAACCCTAAACCCTAAACCCTAAACCCTAAACCCTAAACCCTAAACCCCAGGGTTTTGAAGCTTCTGGGCTGCAGGGTCGTTCGCCTACAGAGGCTGCCAGCAAGCCGCGCTGGAGAACTCCTGGCCTGAACTGAACTTAAGGGCTTAGGGTTTAGGGGTTTTAGGGTTTTAGGGTTTTAGGGTTTAGGGTTTAGGGTTTAGGGTTTAGGGTTTTAGGGCTTAGGGTTTTAGGGGTTTAGGGTTTAGGGGCGACCGGGTCGAATTACAACCAAACGGGTGAAATTACAACCACACGGGGGAAAACACAACTGCATCATGCTTGTGGGCTTGCCCAAACGGGAGAAATTACAACTGGCTATTGCGGTGCCTTTCTAAGTTTGGACATTCTCGGCGCAAAACCCATGGTACAGCCTTAAGGCCTCAAGACTAGTTTTGGATAACGGTGGTTGTGATTCGCCCCTTCTCTTCGCGCCCAAGCACCGTTGGTGTCCAGGGCATGTAAGCAATACTTAACATGATTATCCCGGTTTGTATGCTTGCGGGCATGTTAAGGAGAAGGGCATGTAAGCAATACTCAACATGATTGCTTCGGTATCCCTTCGTGCATGTAAGTGAGAAAGACATGCAGGCAATACTTAACATGATTATCCGGGTTTGTATGCTTATCCAAGTGCTAAAGTCCTGTAGACATTACTTTAGTGATTATTTCGGCTTGTATGGTTTTCGGTTCTGTTAATACTACAAACCTCCAAGGAAAACCGTGATGACCAGGATCTGTTTCCACTCAACCGCCTTTGCGCTGCAAAAGAACGGTGTCGGAAATGCTCAGCACATCACGCACAGCTTGGTTCGCATACACATCTGTGGTTTCGAGCTTACCGTCGGGCAGGAAAGAACATGCCTTCAGCATATGATCCTGCACAGCAGCAGCTGGAGCACCGAAAGACTGGAAAAGCCTGGAAAGCTCCGTCCCCAAGGTTACACTAACATCTTCTACGACGATCTTGTTGACGGGATCTGTGGTTTTCAAAACTGGGTTCCCATCCGCTGAAACACTGTACAGAACACGCACGTTCAACACGGCCGCTGTCTGGGACCCTTCTGCATCTCTGTCGCTAGGCACTATCTGTGGTGCGGCATTCCATGTCGTTTTGCGACGACAACGTCGCAGGTCGTGCAACACGGGAGGCGCCGATGTTTTGTGGCCTGCTGCCTTCACAGTGGTTTCCTGACCCATTGCCTTGTTCTTGGCCTTGGCCTTGCGAAGCTGCTCGCGCAAACTGGTGATGAGGAGATCCTTGTCATCTGCTTTCAGCGGCACGGATCCGCGGCCAGGTGCCTTGGGCTTGTTACCCCGGCCGAAGGCGCCCAATGGAGTAGAGTCCAACTCATCTGGCACCTTGCATTTTCCCAAGTGCATGTTCAAGGCCAGCACGTGGAAGCACCGCTTGGCAGCTGGGAACGCCGGACATGTGCAAAAGGCCTGGTCTCCTCGAAGCCTTGGGTTCTTTATATAGAATGTTTAGACAAGCAGGCCTCACATGCGTTGTAATTAGGGTTAAGGGTTGAGGATTTAAGGTCAGCCAACCATCTTATTGTATCATAGATGGCCAAGAGACCCAAAGATGCGGTGTCCCGACCCGCCATGGAATGTAAGCAAAATCTCCACAGTGGTTTCCTGCCCGCCTTCCTGCGCCACGAAGGCACGAACAACCCGTTCAGCTTGGCGTTGACTCAGCGGTCCACGGTGGCAGACACCAGAGTCGTCCCCATCAGGGTCTTCCCCACGTGGTAGGCAGATGTAGAACCTACGGCGCCAGCTGCTCGAGTACTTCCCAAGTCCCAACCCTCGGCCCTATAAACGCCTAAAGGTCTCAAGCCCCCAAAAAAGAACGACATGGAACTTGCACCAAACCCCCAAAATCTTGACTTGCACAGGTACAAGGAGCTTTCGAGTGTCAAGAGTGACGGATCGGATCTTGTCCGTGCCAAAAAGACTTTGAAATGAGGCCGCCTTCTGCCAAAGCTGAGCGTCCACATGCCGGGGAGCCGTCGGATCAAAATGAGCCTTTGTGGCCACCTCCACTTGCTCCAGCATGAAGTTGAGCGTCTCGCCCACACTGCCGACTACGTTGCCAGCGTCCTGCCGGGTGTACTTGATGGTGCTCTCTGCAGCGTTGTTCGTGGAAGGCGCAGATGCAAGATCTGCAGCGACAGCCAAATGCCAATCACCCACTTTGTCCAGCCATTGCCGAAAGAAGCTGCTCACCCAGTTGTAGTTGCGACCAAGCTTGTCCTTCCACGCAGTCTTGCCTTCCAAACCATCTTGACACCACTTCGCCTTGACCGCATTGGCCCTAGAAACGAAATCCTCCTGAGATTGTGCCTGTCTCATGAGGTCAATGTGCAGGCTGATCTCCGACCATGCCACTTCTTTCTCATCTTTGCTGCCTGCGACAAGTGTACACTATGCTGAGCGTCCTCAGAAACCTTGCTCGATCCCAGTAATCCGAAAGACCGAAACCGCTAACACCTCGCAACGAAAGTCTTATAGGGTTTCGGGATGTTTAGGGCTTAGGGTTCAGGGTTTCAGGCTTCGGGTTTGGGTTGGCTCGCCTTTGAAGCGCTTGTAAAAGCTGTCTCGTGCTGCGTGCTTGACATGGAAGTAGCACATGAGATTCGTGGCATCAAAAGCTGACTTGAGCGCAGAACGGTAGGCTGGCTCCGCATCACTCATCGAAAAGGGTGCCGACACTTTGCTCTGCGCAAGTCTCGCAGTTGACTGAGCAAATGCTGTCAGTGTGGACACCATCCGTTCGGATTCCATGTCCGACGTCAAGGCAAGGGCGCAGAGCCCGAACTCCCCAGCGGGGTTCAAGCAACCCAGCACTGTCAAGGGCCAGCCCAGCAGATTGAATTTGAACCCGCCATCAGCTGCCACGACACACCCTGCAGCACAAGCTCGAGCAAAGCGGCGCTGCAATGCCGGAGTGGTTGCAAGGATGCTGATCTCGGACTTGGGGCCCTTCCTGACGATGCTGCTGTGGCACCAGTAGGCCTGCGATTCTACTTCGGGAAGCTTGTCGCACTGCTGGACTGCTCGGCGCAAGTCTCCGACTGTGCGTCTTCCATACCATGAAGCACAGAGCCCCTTGCGCAAGTTCTGCACTTGCTTCAGCTGCGCCTTCTGCACGGGTTGTTGTTTGTTCGTACGCCCTGACCTCAAGGCCAAACGCGGCCGCGAAGTGGCTTTCTGCGCAAGAGCCGCCTCCAGCACCTTCCGCTCTGCAAGGCTTTCGAAACCACGTGTCCCAGTTGTCTTTGCACCAGCTATGTGAGATCTCCAAAGCGATGCATGCTGGTAGAGCTCTGCTGTCCCATCCGCCTGTTCCTTCAACACTGCCCTCCACGTGCAAGGTGGTGTACTCTGAGCCAGCCTGCACGCCAGAAAAGTAATCTTGCCATCCTTCTTGATGGCACGACCACAGTGTGAGCGACAGTGCTTTCCTGAGCCCAGGTCTTGTAAACCCGCAGATCTGCTGGCATAGCTGCCTACAAAGCTATCATACAATGCCGCTTGGAAGGAACCTGGTGCAGCTGCTCGCCCTGCTGGGCGTTTCATGGCAGCTATTTCTGATGAACCTGTAGCCCGAAAAGGTCACAGCGAAGTTGTCAAGGAATCCTTTGGCATCCCACCTTCAAAATCCGACTCCCGAGCCACTCAACAAAACCCAAAACATCCCCAAAACCCTTAGCCCCTTTACATCTACTCAAATAAAGCCTCAAAGACCCTTTACATCTACTCAAAAAAAGCCTCAAAGACCCTTTACATCTACTCAAAAAAAGCCTCAAAGACCCTTTACATCTACTCAAATATAGCCTCAAAGACCCTTTACATCTACTCAAATAAAGCCTCAAAGACCCTTAAAGCCTCAAAGACCCTTTACATCTACTCAAATAAAGCCTCAAAGACCCTTTACATCTACTCAAATAAAGCCTCAAAGACCCTTTACATCTACTCAAATAAAGCCTCAAAGACCCTTTACATCTACTCAAATAAAGCCTCAAAGACCCTTTACATCTACTCAAATAAAGCCTCAAAGACCCTTTACATCTACTCAAATAAAGCCTCAAAGACCCTTTACATCTACTCAAATAAAGCCTCAAAGACCCTTTACATCTACTCAAATAAAGCCTCAAAGACCCTTTACATCTACTCAAATAAAGCCTCAAAGACCCTTTACATCTACTCAAATAATCAATAAAGCCTCAAAGACCCTTTACATCTACTCAAACAAAGCCTGAAAGACACCAGTTGTATTATGACCCATCTGGTTGTATTTTCCCCTATCTGAACCAATTTTTAAAGATTTCAGTTGTATTATTACCCATCTGGTTGTATTTTCACCCATCTAGTTGTATTTCGCCTTATTCTCGGGTTTAGGGTTTAGGGCTTTAGGGTGTGGTAACGTCATGGGTGCTCGCTGGTGTGTGCACACCCAGGCCGCTCGCACTGGTGCGTAGCAGACAGCCCACCCCAAGACCGCCCTGAGTTCAAGCATTTTAGGGTTTAGTTCTAAAGTCTTCTAGGCACCCAAGCGGGGGCTTGGACATCACCGACGGGGGCCGTTACTTTCAACGGGGCCCAGGCCAGTCGAAGGGAAGCTGCATGTGTGTCTCAACCGAAGAGGAGTAGCAATGCGTGGGCTGACTAGGGCTGTTCTTGCAAACATTTGTCTCATACCCAGAAAATAGATAATACGTTATTCGACGGCTTTCGAACGTAGGTCGCAGCTGGCAGGTAGTTTCGGCACAGACCCGCCCTTCGGCCTGCAAAGAAGCTGATGTCTCGTGCTGAAAAGAAAAACGTCTCCTGGTTGTGCGAACCAGAGCTCGGGTGATGTGCGATCAGTAGTGTCGAAACCGTATCTTGTCTCGAATGAAGCCGCTGCCCGACGCCGCGCCGCTGCCATTTTTTTGCAAAATTTCGCCGCGACTTGAACCTCGCCGGATTGAAAGGTCTCATGTAGGCTTTCTGTGAGGCTGTCATGGCAGGTTTCGGCTTTCTGTGAGTCTATCCCTGTCTGGATTGGGTTTTCTGCGAGGCTCATGTGGGCTTTCTGTAAAGCTGTCCTGGCGGCTGCCCGATGAAGCAATGGATTTTCTGTGAGGCTCCAATCCTTGTCCATTTCGGATTCGCACCAAATCCTGCAAGTCGTGACGGGTTGGGCGGGTCCAACCCTTGTCCATTTGCCGCTCATGAAGGGTTGGGGGGTCCAACCCTGGTCCATTTGTCGTTCATGAAGGGTTGGGGGGTCAAACCCTCGTCCATTTGCCGTTCATGAAGGGTTGGGGGGGGTCAAACCCTTGTCCATTTGCCGTTCATGGAGGGTTGGGGGGTCAAACCCTTGTCCATTTGCCGTTCGTGAAGGGTTGGGGGGGTTAAACCCTTGTCCATTTGCCGTTCGTGAAGGGTTGGGGGGTCAAACCCTTGTCCATTTGCCGTTCATGAAGGGTTGGGGGGTCAAACCCATGTCCATTGGGGGGCCGTTCATGAAGGGTTGGGGGGTCAAACCCCTGTCCATTTGGGAACTGGCCAAAAAGGAGGAACCCAGAGATCGGCCGACAGCCTAATGTAAATGGCGCATTTTATAAGCAGGATTTGGTAACAGAAAATCAGCTGTCAGCTTCCTGGAAAGGAGCACCCGCCAAGTCGTGAAGGGTTGGGGGGGTCCAACCCTTGTCCATTTGGGAGCCGCTTCAAGTCGTGAAGGGTTGGGGGGTCAAATCCTTGCCCACTTGCCGTTCATGGAGGGTTGGGGGGTCAAACCCTTGTCCATTTGCCGTTCATGGAGGGTTGGGGGGTCCAACCCTTGTCCATTTGCCGTTCATGAAGGGTTGGGGGGGCAAACCAGTGTCGAAAGGAAGTGCCAGCAAAAACCCTCGGGTTTAGGGTTTCTCCTTTATACCACTCCGTGGGAGGTGCCCGAGGGGCCGGCATGCATGGGGCCAGTCGCCTAGCTTTACCTAGGCTCCGCGTACGCGTTTTCTGCCGCTCGCGAAGCTCGGGCCGCTTCGGGCTCCGCGGTGGCGGTTGTCGAGCCCTCAGCGAAAACTTTTAGGGTTTAGGGGGTTTAGGGTTTTAGGGTTTAGGGTTTAGGGTTTAGGGTTTAAGGGTTTAGGGGTTTAGGGTTTTAGGGTTTAGGGTAGGGTTTAGGGTTTAGGGTTTTAGGGTTTAAAGGTTTAAGGGTTTAGGGGTTTAGGGTTTAGGGGTTTAGGGTAGGGTTTTAGGGGTTTAGGGTTAGGGTTTAGGGGGTTTAGGGTTTAGGGTTGGGTTTAGGGTTTTTAGGGTTTAGGGTTTTAGGGTTTAGGGTTTAGGTTTAGGGTTTTAGGGTTTTAGGGTTTTAGGGGTTTAGGTTTAGGGTTTAGGGGGTTTAGGGTTTTTAGGGGTTTAGGTTTGGGTTTAGGGTTTGGGTTTAGGGTTTTAGGGTTTAGGGTTTAGGGTTTTAGGGTTTAAAGGTTTAAGGGTTTAGGGGTTTAGGGTTTAGGGGTTTTAGGGTTTAGGGTTTTAGGGGTTTAGGGTTTAGGGTTTAGGGTTTAGGGTTTTAGGGTTTAGGGTTTAGGGTTTAGGGTTTAGGGTTTTAGGGTTTAGGGTTTTAGGGGTTTAGGGTTTAGGGTTTTAGGGTTTTAGGGTTTTAGGGTTTAGGGGTTAGGGTTTTAGGGTTTAGGGTTTAGGGTTTAGGGCTTTAGGGTTTTAGGGTTTACGGTTTTAGGGTTTAGGGGTTTAGGGTTTTAGGGTTTAGGGGTTTAGGGTTTTAGGGTTTAGGGGTTTAGGGATTTAGGGTCTTAGGGCCTCCTCTCAGGATTTCTAGGGGCGTAGGTTTGAGGTTTATACGGGCTCAAGCTTAGGGTTTGTATGGGTTTAGGGTTTTTTGGTGGTTCGGGATTTGAAGCATATGGATTTTGGGGGTTTGGGGCTTGGAGTTGACAGATGATGCACATGGACATGGACACGGACGGCAAGGAGTTGGAGTTTAGAAGTCTTCAGTGCCAAGCAGATCCAAGCAGATGGGCCCTTTCGCGTCTAAAGTTCCTCTACATGGAGGACCAGGCGACTTGGTAAGAAAGGTTGATGCATGTAGTTACTTGCTGGGGTTTAGGGTTTAGGGTTACGATCCTTTCATACCGCAAGCTGCAAGGCCCTAGCGATGCTTTTTCCGTCGCCATGCACTTCATCCCTTATGAATATGTACACTACCGGAGCTCCCGCGGTCGCTCTGCGCTTTGCTGGAAATGCAACAACCGCTTCGGCATAGACGCGGCCTGTTGAAAGCCAGGGTGTTGCCGCGCCTCTACCAGCCGAAAATTGTAGTCTGAACTGTTGGCATGGGAGTTTCAGATAAGAAAGGACACTTATAGAGATCCCAGACTTTACCCTAGACCCTAAACCCTAAACCCTATCCTTTTCTTAAGAGAACCCACTAGTCAGGTACAGTGTCTTTCCCCTAAACCCTAAACCCCAAGCCCAAAACCCTCAGAGGCCTCACGAGGTGGGATGAAGGTAGGTGGGATTGAGGATCCCTTATGGGAATATCCCACCTATCTTCATCCTACCTTTTGAGGCCCAAAACCCTAAACCCCGAGCCTTCAACGCCAAACCCTAAGCCCAAAACTTAGCGAGGTCGCTTCCGTCGAAAGAGCCAGAAACGCAAAAAAGGTCTACATTCTCTGCGAGGCGCTGCCTCAACCCTAAGCCGTAAAACCTAAGCCCTAAACCTTATATACATACGCCCACAACTTTAGCTGCTTTTCTGAAACTCACATATGGGAGTTCCCAGAAATAGGAGACCCTTAATCTAGTACCCTAAATAGTAGGACCCTTTTATAATGGACTCCAAAATCAGGTACCCCTATTTTTCTGAGAAACTCCCAAACCCTAAACCCCTTGTAGAACCCTTGTAGATCCCTTTAAGGAACCCTTATATAAAGGATCCCTTGAAAGGTACCCCTAATTTCCTGAAACTCCCAGAGGCGTCCTCTCGCTTGGAGAACTCGGAACCTGTGCCTTGACTTGCTGTCAGCATCTCCAAGCCGTGCCCAGAGACTCCAATATCTATAGGGGTTCCTAGCAGCATTCCTTTAAAGGGATCTATAAAGGGTTCGTTTAAGGGGTAGTATAAGGGATCTGTAGGGTTTAGGGCTTAGGGACATCTCCAAGCCGTACTTAAAGGATCATGGGACTTAGTAACTATAGGCTTCCTTAAAGGACTTAGTAACTAGGGATATAAGTAAGGTAACCATACTTATAAATACTTATGACCCCAATTTGGGCACTTATAACCCTAGTTACTAAGTCTCCTGATCCTCCGGGGGGAGCCGTACCGAGAGACTCCAATATCCCTTAATTAGGGAATATACCTTAAATCATATTAAGGATCCTACTATAGCTTAAGGAATATTCCCTAATTAAGGGATATTGGAGTCTCTGGGTAGGCATAGTGGGGAGGGGCTTCTTCAAGGGATCTATAGGGTTCCTTTAAGGGATCTATAAAGGGGGATCTATATATATAGGATTCCTTGAAGAGATCTGTAAGGGGGGATCTATATATAGGGTTCCTTTAAGGGATCTATAAGGGGATCTATAGGGTTTCTGGTTTAGGGATAAGGGGTTTAGGGTTTCGGGCTCATGTCCATAACCATAACAGATACTACAAGGCATCCATAAGATCATAAGGCTCCAACAGGGCACAGTGTGGAGGTCTTGGGCTTCTTAACCCCGGAATTCTAGGCTCAAAGCCTTAACGCTCGGAACCCTTGAAACCCTGAACCCTCAACTACTCAACCGGAACCCAAACTAACTTGAAATAGCCTGTAAGTGCAGAAGAAATGAAAGCTTGGGAGCTTGCTGACAAGAGTCCTAGAGCTTGAAACACAGCCAGTTTAAGAGCTTCAGAGACTAGGGAGCACTAAGCCAAAATCCCAACATCTGAGGATCCTTCTTAAAAGGACCCGTGCGAGCAAGCATTCCGCATACATTCTCCGAAGCCCCCAAAGTGGGAGCAACTTCCAGTTGGCATCCTGCAGACGACAACTCCGTGCTGAAAAGTCCGAAAACTGCTACGAACATCGCCGCATCTCATCTGGGTTCCCAGTAGCCCTCAATAACAATAACAATGGGTTTTGGGTTTGGAGTTTAGTGTTTAGGGTACCCTTTTGCCTACGAGTCGGTAAACAAACGGGTGAAGAGGGTACGACTGGGAGACCTCGTCCTTGCAGGGACAAGCAAGTAGATGTGCTATTTGTTTGCAGGTTCTAGCCGCTGCTTGCCATCACGCAGGCAACTTCATCACACCTGCGTCTGGAAGCATAGTACATGGCAAGCAGCCGGCAAAGCCTGGCACTGCGGAAATACAAGCAACGCCATGCCGATTGGTTTAGGGTTTAGGGTTTTGGGGTTTAGGCTTGCTGAAGTTCATTTCAGGCGAACAACCACGTCTGCTGTGCTGCTGGCTGTACAGCAGTCTGCCACCACACACAGGGGTCTGGTGTTCATGCTGTGACTCGTTGCTTCCGCAAATCGAAAGAGGTCAACAGGTGCACATGTACTTTCGGATAGATGATAGATACATGCAGAAAACAGCTATGTTTCGCCACAGTCTTCAAGCGCAGATGCAACGGCACAGTCGGAAACAGTTCAGGGCAGCGGAACGACAAGTTCCGCTATCCATGCTTCCCAAAACGAATGCAAACTGCCGCAGCTCGCATTCTTGGAACATCTCCACAAAGACTCCAGATTGGAAGCCACAAGTGGAGGCTACCCTTGGAACTGACTCTGGGAACCGGATCCGCCAGGGAGAGCTTTTCCATCTCGGGCCATGATAGTGACACGAACAAGTGGTGCTGGTCAGCCAATTCCAGATCTACGACATCCCAAGTTTCTTGCAACTGCGACATGGGTGGTTGTCAAAATTAGGGTCCCTTTGTGGGTCCTTAATATAACACGGCACCTATTATTCAGGGTAACCCAGAAAGGGACCCTAATTTTGACCACCACCCAGATCTCCCACTAGAGTCGGATTCCGGCGAGCTCCCTGCAAAGCCTTCAAATCCCAGATGACGGGTCCGGCCCACGCTTGCCAAGGAAGGACGCCTGAAGCAGGAGGGATGTTTCAGAGGGTTTAGGGCTTCCTTTATGAGATCCTTTAAAGGTACCTTTAAGGGATCTATGAGGGTTTAGGGTTTAGGGGGTAGGGTGCCCTCATGCCCATAATCGGGACCTAGCAAGCCTTTGTTAAGTAAACATAGTCCCAACTACCCCACTAAGGGTCCCTATGAATGTTTGTGCTTTGCGAAGGAGCTCTGCTTCTGATTCGTTCACCGCAGCACCTCCAGCTGAAACCGATTTGAAATCTACTATGCGCTCCTTGATAGGAAACCCCTTAAGGGATCTAGTCTTTGGATCTTGGTGCACTTCACTGGTCTGTGAGGAACTTCTGATGAAGACCTGTACCCGGCAAATGTGCCTCCGGCTCGTAAGGGGGGCCTACAGGAACCCTAAACCCTACACATACCCTAAACCCTAAACCCTAAGCCCTCATAGATCCCTTAAAGGTACCCTTAAAGGATCTCATAAAGGAACCCCTAAACCCTAAACCCTAGAAGCCCGCAAGCCCTAAACCCAACGGCCATGAATCACACCCTACCTGGGCCAAGACTGCCATCAGCACGCTGCCGCCCAGAAACCGCAGAAATGCCTGAAAAAGTGGGAGCGAAGACTCTGAAAGGATTCGGGGTTTAGGAGTTTAGGGTTTAGGTTTCAGGGTTTCGGGTTCAGGGACCCAGGGGTTCAGGGCTTCGGGTATAGGGTTTAACGTCTAGGGTTTGGGGTTGGTGATGGGGAAGTGCTACCTTGAAGTTGAGAGCAATAACCTACTGTGTTGTGTTGCAGGGTCTGGGGCTACAGCCAGGAGTTTAGCGTTTTGGGCATTAGGGGGTTTAAGGTCACGGGTCTTTAGGGAATCTAGCGTTTGGTGCTTAGAGCTTTGGGTGTTTCGGGGTTTAGGCGCGTGTCGTTTAGAGGTCGCAACTTTTCCTGGTAGCTCTGGCTGTAGCCAAGTTGTTAGTATGATAATTATACTGTTATGTTATTGATCGTAGTAGTCGTCGTAGCAGTAGCAGCGCTATCAATTTATGATTACTCTTTTTGCCTATACTTGGCCCATGCACATAGCAAATGCGACACCAGAAAGACCCCTACTTGTGAGGGCAGGGCAAGAGGGAAATGGCGAGGCGACACCTGCTTCCCAGAGACTCCGAGGATCCTACTATAAATTTTAAGGAATATTCCATACCTTCAACCATATTAAGGATCCTACTATAATTTAAGGAATATCCCGTAAGTAAGGGGATATTGGAGTCTCTGGGTTCTGAGGGTGCCAACACAGGCAAGGCCCGAACTGAGAAGGAACAGGTTAGAAGGGGCCCCCACCCTGTAATAGGAAGATAATAGGAATATAATAGGAATATAATAGGGCCCTACTATAATCCTTATAGGCACTAGTACAGGGTGGGGACAGAGGTCGCCACGATGACGAGCAAACCTATTAACGCCTTTGTAAGTGAAGCGGCACGGCCGGAACAAACTGAACAAAATGCCTGTGCTTAGGAGTAGTACCATGAGTATTGTCTGCTGCATTTATCGTGAGTATAGGGGCCTTAATACTTAGAATAGGTTCTGGGGCCCATTATACTCTAATTGTGAAAAGGAACCCCCGAAATAGTGTTGGCACCTACTGTTGATGATAAAAATCCTGCATTGCCTTAAGGACCTTAAACTATGGGAATTATGGTATATTCCTTATTATGGGTAATGCAGGATCTATATCATCAACCGCATTTTGGCCCCTTTTGTAGCTCTGAAGGAGCCAGCCTGAGGCAAGTCTTCCGGTTTCGTCGCCGGCTTCGGTTCCTCGGCGACCTGGGAAAAGACGCATCTGGGACCGCCCTTTGATGCACCGGTGATGTTGGAGGATATGTGTATGTATATATATATATATATATATATATATATCGGGGCTTCGGAATTGAGGCTTTGTGGCTTCGGGTTTGTGGTTTGGGGGGTAGCGTTCAGGGATTAGCACATGTTCATACGACTGGAGGAAGCGAGGGAACGAGTTGTCGGAACAGGAGAAGCACGAAGAGGTGACTTAAATTGGGCCTGAAGGTAGGTCCACATGCCCTCAGCAGGATAAGACAAGTACAAAGTACAGACTTGATCGCATCAGTCCAAATTCCACGACTTCGCGACACCACCGGAAGACACGGGGACACTTCTGACATCTTCTAATTGCCCCGGGCCTCTTTAGTACGAAGCCGTGCTAAGCCCTAGACCCTAAACCCCTAAACCTCAAACCTTAAACCCTAAACCCTAAAGCCCTAAACCTCAAACCCGAAACCCTAAACCCTAAACCCCTAAACCTCAAACCTTAAACCCTAAACCCTAAAGCCCTAAACCCTAAAATGCGTGCAACCCCCAAAGAGGAGACAAAACACAAATTAAAGCGATCCACAGCTCGACACACGCACACCTTCGCTTGTTCATCAAGACATATTCCATGTTGCATAAGCTTAGGGGTTTAGGGGTTTAGGGGTTTAGGGGCTTAGGGGTTTAGGGGCTTAGGGGTTTAGGGTTGAGGGATTGAAGGCTTCTCGAGTCGGGATTTCACGAGCATCAGGATAGCTAGCACGCACTGTCATCCGGCTGATGATCTAAATCCTGCATTACCTTAAGGACCCTAAACTATGGGAATTATGGTATATTCCTTCTTATGGGTAATGCAGGATCCATACCATCAACAGTACCGGCTGAGAGAAAGACCAAGGCGCAAGACAGCCCGTACATGTAACTGGAGAGTCACTTCGCTGAACCCCAAACCCCTGTAAAATCCATAAGACACCAAACAGTACAATGCATGCATACACACATTTTTTGTATACCACTGGTTGCTTTCATTATCTTGATCGGTTGTTTATTCATTCGTGTTTTAACAGGGAATTAATTTCTTGAAGCCTTTGATAAGATCAGACATATTGACTGAAAACCTTATGGGAAGCCTCAAAAGCAACCCTGATAATCTTAAAACTCTAAACCCTGAATCTCAATTCCTGGACCCTAAACCCGAAACTCAACCCTTAAAGAAATATTGATAAGCCCTAAACCCCGAACCCTAAAATCCTAAACCCTCATGAAAACCTTTAAAGGTAAAGGAACTCCTAAACTCCCAAATCCCAAACACTCATAAACATAAAACCCCTAAACCCTACACCCTGAACTCCTAAGCCCCAAACCCTAAACCCTAAACCCTCAACCCTAAAACCCTAAACCCTAAACCCTAAACCCTAAACCCTAAACCCTAAACCCTAAAACCCTAAACCCTAAACCCTAAACCCTAAAACCCTAAACCTCTCTACCTATAGTAATTTAAACCTTATAGTCTTCGTGGCTCTTGATCAAAACTCGTGGCTCTTGATCAAAACTCGTGGCTCTTGATCAAAACTCGTGGCTCTTGATCAAAACTCGTGGCTCTTGATCAAAACTCGTGGCTCTTGCTCAAAACTCGTGGCTCTTGATCAAAACTCGTGGCTCTTGATCAAAACTCGTGGCTCTTGATCAAAACTCGTGGCTCTTGATCAAAACTCGTGGCTCTTGATCAAAACTCGTGGCTCTTGATCAAAACTCGTGGCTCTTGATCAAAACTCGTGGCGGTTGACGTCCCCCTAGGGTTTAGGGCCTAGGGTTTGGGCCCTAGGGTTTAGGGCCTAGGGTTTGGGCACTAGGGTTTAGGGCCTAGGGTTTGGGCACTAGGGTTTAGGGCTAGGGTTTGGGCACTAGGGTTTAGGGCCTAGGGTTTGGGCACTAGGGTTTAGGGCCTAGGGTTTGGGCACTAGGGTTTAGGGCCTAGGGTTTGGGCACTAGGGTTTAGGGCCTAGGGTTTGGGCACTAGGGTTTAGGGCCTAGGGTTTGGGCACTAGGGTTTAGGGCCTAGGGTTTGGGCACTAGGGTTTAGGGCCTAGGCCCTAGGGTTTAGGGCTAGGGTTTGGGCACTAGGGTTTAGGGCCTAGGGTTCGGGCCCTTGGGCTTGGGCCGATGTGGGCATTAGGGGTTAGGCCTAGGATTGAGGCTGGAACGTTGGTCGACGGTGGCGTGATTCATTGCGTGTTGCATGATCAAGTTGTACAAGGGTGGGGTGGGGATTGTCAATACCTGTAGCATGAGAAAGTTGTACAAAGGTGGGGTGGGGATAGGCTGGAGGATGCACAGCTGCGAACAGGTTGCGAGACAAGCTGCGTGAAGACATGCACTGAAGCACAGGCAGGGCAAGACATGCATGCAAGCAAAAAGCTGCTGTGTTTTTTCACAGATTTGCGCATGCGATTTGTCGGAGCACTCAGAATCAAGGCGACACCCTTCAGCGGAGCACTGTGTCACACCCCGCGGGCCCTCGACCGGACGAGCCTACGTCATTTGAGCTCCTCTGTCTGTTTGCGCCCTTCCCGAAGATACCCTTTCAAACCAAAAATTTGGTGTTTGAAAGGGCCCGCGGGGCCAACGCAGAATCAACCCTACAACAGTTCACGCGGACCCTGCAATCAAAAGGGTAAGTTCGGGAGTGGGTTTGCGGACATAGTTTGACCTCCCCTGTCCATCTATGGCCCTCCCGCGGCTCCCCTTGAACACCAGTTTCCGCATGAAGGGTCGCAGAATGCAGAATCACATTCGCACACCCTTCCTGCGGTAAATGGTCTTCAAGGGGAGCCGCGGGAGGGCCATAGATGGACAGGGTAGGTCAAACTATGTCCGCAAACCCACTCCTGAGCCCACCTGAAGGCTTACAGTATCCCCATGAACTGTGTCAGATTGATTCTGCATTCTGCGACCCTTCATGCGGAAACTGTTCTTCAAGGGGAGCCGCGGGAGGGCCTTAGATGGACGGGAGAGGTCAAACTATGTCCACAAACCCACTCCCGAACTTACCCTTTTGATTACAGGGTCCGCGCGAACTGTTATCAGATTGATTCTGCGTTGCCCGCGCGGGCGCCCTCAAACACGAAATTTTGGTATCTTTCAGCGGGCTTCGGGAGGGCCGCAAACAGACAGAGGAGCTCAAATGAGGTAGGCTCGTCCGGTCGAGGGCCCGCGGGGTGTGAGAGAGTGATTCTGCGGAGGGCGTGGCTTTGATTCTGCGTGGTTGTTGCTTGGATGGCTGTGACCTCGTTTCGGAACGTATGTAAGTCGCTGAAGAACTTCAAATGATGTAGAGTTCTTCACTTGAAGGCCGTTAATGATCGATGTAGTTGCATATCCAGCTAAGTTTGCATTGACTATTTGTTTCGCTGGAGTTCGCACCTTGCTTAGGGATGTGCCTAGCTGCTTTGCAGAGGATGATGTGTGAGCACCACAAGTTCACTTTGTCGTTGAAAGCAGTCATCGTGGAAGCATTCGAAAATGCTTCGGATTTTCAAAAAAAAAGCGTTTTTGCGAGATGCCGCAGACGAGCCTCGCGACATGTAAGCAGCGGCCTGGAGCAGCCCGGGGCCGAAGCCCGGCTTTGCTGCCTCTGACCCCCCGGAGCCCCGGAGCCGGCTTCGGCCTCTGACCCCCCAACAACGCGCGCGCGCGCGCGAAAAGGTCTTTGGAGGCCTGGCGGTGAAGGGTTTCAGCTGAACGGTCATCGCAAAGAAACCTGATAGCTGTGGTTGCTATCGTAAAACGATGGCGTGACCGCAGCTTCAACTGTTGGAGGCAATGTTGTCAGGCAGTGGACACAGTCCGATGTGGAAACATTGAAAGACATGAAATCGAATTCGATAGCTGTTCTAGGTGAGGAGATTCAAGTCATGACACTTGACAGCTATGGTTGCTATCGTAAAGCGATGGCGTGACCGCAGCTTCGGCGGGTTAGGGCGATCTTGTGTTTCTTACCTAGCTCTCTTAGAAAGCTGGATAGCTGTGGTTGCTAGTTGAGGAGATTCAAGTCATGACACCTGACAGCTATGGCTGCTATCGTAAAGCGATGGCGTGACCGCAGCTTCCGCGGGTTAGGGCGATGTTGTGTTTCTTAACTAGCTCTCTTAGAAAGCTGGTCGGCAGAAATAATTTCTTAAAGTGAAGCGTGTGGCGAGAACGACTGTAAAGAAACAGCACCTGCTTGATCGAAAGAGTGAAAAGTTATGATCTGTAATAGTTGTATGTAAGTGATCTTTTAAAGATTCAAGCCAAAAGAAATAAAACTCTTAAATCTAATGTAATGGGATTCTGTGGGCGGGTGGGGTTTCTTCTAGAAGATAGCTTGACTAGAAATAGCCTGACATGAAATGTTCAAAGTCAGAGCTGCTGAACCCTAAACCCTAAACCCTAAAACCCTAAACCCTAAAACCCTAAACCCTAAACCCTAAACCCTAAACCCTAAACCCTAAACCCTAAAACCCTAAACCCTAAACCCTAAACCCTAAAACCCTAAACCCTAAACCCTAAACCCTAAACCCTAAACCCTCAACCTTGAACTCCTAAGTCCCAAACCCCCTTTTTTTCATGTGAAAACCCGCGCGCGCGCCTGCGACTCAGAGGGTTCCTCGGCCGGAAGAAGCCACTGGCGCTCCAGCTGAGCGACCTTGGCTGCTTGGAGGTTCATGGGACCTAGGGACTTGAAGGGTTCCTTAAAGGGTTCCATTAAAGGGTTTTGCAGGTTTAGGGTTTAGGGTTCATGGGACCTAGGAATTGGATACTGCCCCCATACAGTAAAAGTCTACAATAGGGCTAATATATCGATATGATGAATATTATCCAACTGTTACTGAGTGGGGGCAGTATCCAACCTAGGAACTTGAAGGGTTCCTTGAAGGGTTCCATTTTAGGGTTTAGGGTTTGGGGTTCAGGGCCCGGGGTTTAGGGTACAGGGGTTCAAGGGTTCAGGGTCATAGGGTTGAGGGTTTTGATTTTGAGGCTTAGGGCTTCCGCTTAAAGGCTTCCGGCTGGTGAAATTTAGGGTCGCCCTTGACAATTAAATCACTTCGGGGAAAGGGTCTGCGACGCGGGTGCTTCTGCACATGACGTGTGTGAATCAGTAGACATATCAGTATATATCCGAACATAAATGTAGCCCTTGATACGGATATAAGCATACCCATAGGCTTTATGGTAGTTCCTTTTGGGGACTACCTTGTAGGGTTCTAAAGATGATCCCAAAAAAGGAACTACTTTGGCGCTTATGGGTAAACCTAGATGTAGATATACATGAAAGAAAGTACAGAGCGGAAACTTAACCCAAAATAAACCCTGACCCTGAAACGCTAAGGCTTCACGCTCGTACTTAAAAGGTCATGGGACTTAGTAACTAGGGTTAGTAATAAGGTATCTATACATATAACTCCAATTAGGGGACTTGTAGCCTTACTGACTGGGTCCCTTGATCCTGCAAGTAAGTAGACCCTGAACCCTAAACCCTAAGAGATCCCTCCTATAGATCCCTTTAAGGAGCCCTTTAAGAACCCTTCCTAAGTCCCCTGATCCTGCAAGTACGGCTTGGAGAAGTCCCTAAGCCCTAAACCCTATAGATCCCTTATACTACCCCGTAAAAGAACCCTTTATAGATCCCTTGAAAGGAATGCTAGGAACCCTTATCTAGGATACCCAGTAACCTAAGAATAAAAAGGCCTCTCTTTTTGATATTGGGTAACTTTATAAGGAACCTAGGACTACAAAAAGGGAATCAGGTAAAAGCCAGAAAGTTGGAATATGATTATCCTAACCCTTCTATGGTAAATTATAGGATATCCTACCATGAAACCATATCCCAACTTTCTGGAGTTCCCTTTAAGGGTACTACTGGGCATCCTAGCTGGAATCTTCGAGGCTCCAGCTGCCAGCTTCCGCTTCGTCTGCCAGATGGAGGCGGGAGGTGCTCCCGCACGGGCCACCCTGCTTGTTTTTGTTTTAAGTGCAAAGGGCCACCCCTGGGGCTTAGGGTTTAGGGTTTAGAGTTTAGGGTTTAGGGTTTAGAGTTTAGGGTTTGGGGCTTAGGGTTGAGGGCTTAGAGTTTAGGGTTTTGGGCTTTGGGTTTGGGGTTTCGAATCTGCTTCCAAAGCTCCAAAGGAGTCCGGGGTTTCGGGCTCAGAGTTTGGGGTTGTCGGGATTAGAGTTTGGGTTGAGGTCGAGGCTTAGGCAACTGAATGCAATGGCTCAGGAGTTGTGCAGGGCGCGAGGTAGACTGATGGGAGGCCAAAAGGGGGAAACAAGATTCTTGGGGTAGGGATTCCTTAATATGAACCCTACTATGGGAACCCTAATCCCTACTAAACCCCCATAGGCTAAAACCCCTTTTGGCCTCCTATGATAGACCACGCGCGCCTTGCTCTCCGTTGCCCCCGAGACCTCAGCCCGGAAGCAGCAGATACTCAGATCGAAGTCTCGATGGAAGACATGCGGTGGGGGGGGAGGAGCGGTCTAAGCGCTACATCATGACACCAGCATGCCCTTAGATGCCATAAATCCTGTTTTCCTGTAGCCTCGTTTGCAGAGAACCCGTAGTATTGTTAACATACTTCTATGACTCCCTCAATCGACGACACCTGGCAGCACCATGTATGTTGCCGCACGTTCTTTCTCCAGGCTGCTGGGTACATATGACTCTCTCCGGACAAGAGTGTTGCAAAAATAGGTAGTGATAGTAAAAGTAATGGTAATAGTCACGGTACTGCTAATAGTAATATTTGATCATAGACACCCGAGGCCGGAGGCATGCTTCCGTGGGCAGATCCAGCTCCTAACCCTAAACCCTCAGAACCCTAGGCGTTGAACCCTAAACACAAAGGCCTAAACCCTAAACCCTTAAAGGAACCCTCTCAACTGCTTCCCCCAATCACTTAAACCCTCCACCCTAAATACGAACCCCAGCCAACTTATGAAGTCCTTCCCAGTGAATCTCCCCTGAGCGCCCCACGCCAAGCCCAGGGTAGCCAACGGCAGTGCTAGTGCCTTGCAGGCCTTCTGCAGGATTCGTGACGAGGGTTGAGTTTGGGGTCTTCGGCTTAGGGTCTATTAGGGTTCGGGGTTCAGGGTTTTGAGTTCAGGAGAAGAGACTTAGCGCTGAAACAACGTGAATCTTGGAGAGCTTTAGTCTTCTGATGCTCAGGCTCTGTTCCCTAAGCCAGACAACAAACCCTAAAACCTCTATACTTTTTTGGTGGCTCCTTATTATAAGTATAGTACAAGCCCCAAAGCTCTATTCTAATCACTAAGGCCCTAGAAGGAGCCTGTCAAGCCTAAACAGGAGGCGACGTTCCCATGATACTCAGCCCCACACCGATTAACCCTTAACCCTGCACCGCATAAACCCTAGAATTCCCCAAGAAAATCCAAACAGACCCCTGCAAAACACACAAAAATGCTCGAAACCTCTGGAGACACTCTAAAGCCGATCTAGAACTGACGGAAAGCCCATCCAAACCCTGCAAAACTCCCTCTTCTGCGCCGCCTTGGCACGAGAGAAGCGGGAGGAAGGAGACCCCTTTGGCCTTAGCCCAGAGAGCGCATTTGAGGCCCTCTCTGTAAAGGCTGGGATATATGGGAGTTCCGAAAATTAAGGTCCTTATTTGGGGATCTTTACTATAAGGATCCTATTTTTTAAGGTTACAAAATTCGGAAACTCCCATATTTCTCCAAGGGTGAATGTATCCCAGAAGGGTCACCATAGTACTAGAAGGGGTACTATACTACTCTCAGGGAAACCGTAATGCTATAAGGATTGCTATGTTGCCAGGACGGTTGCTAGACGGGCTGCTTTGCTAGAAGCGCTGCCAAAAGTTTAGGGGCTTTAGGGTCCATGGGCTTCGGATGTGCCGGATGTTGACGGGTCACGATTTGAAAGCCTAGCCTCCGGAACAAAAAGTTGAAAACTGACTCCGGGGTTGAGGTGCAAAAACCATGCCCCTGCTACACGAGCTGCGAAAAGAGGTCCTTAACCCAAAACCGCTCGAAACCTAAACTCACACAATTACCAGCAGCCCCTCGTAGTAGCCCCTACTTGTAGCCATGTAATGTAAAGTACCCCTCATTTACCAGTAGGCTTATATCATGACCCTTACAGAACCCAGAAACCCGTAAACCTGAACACTGCCTAAACCCTAAACCGCCTGAACCCTAAACCCTAAACCCTAGACTCTAATCTACTCTTAAAGGAACCCTCAAAGGATCCCTTCAAGGATCCCTTAAAGGACGTCTTACCTCAACCCCAGGTAACCTACCTTTTTAAGGACTCATCTAAAGAAATCATATTAAGGAACCCTAAAAAGGCAGGGTTTTAAGGGTCCAGGTAAAGGAACCCTCAAAGGATCCCTTAAAGGATCCCCTAAAGGAACCTCTACAGGGGCCTGAACCCTGCAAAAACCCCAAATCCGGCGGTTCGTCTGAGGCTCGAACAGAGCCGAAGCTGTCGGAAGATGAGGCGCCTCGTTGCTGCAGCCACAATTGAGGAATATACCCCTACTTAAAAGGGGTCCTTAAAGGGATCTGTCAGGGTTGATATAAGGGATCTATAAGGGTTCCTTTAAGGGAGGCCTTCTAGTATTCCCTTAAAGGAACCACTCGCAATTCCTTAACGGAACCCCTACTTAAAGGATCCTGCGACTTAGTAACTAGGGTTACAAATACGGTAACTATACATTTAATTAGTTATAATAACCTTACTTGCTAAGTCCCATGATCCTCCAAGTTTTTTGTTTTAAAGGAATCTATAAGGGTTCCTTTGAGGGATCCCTTTAAGGGATCTCTGGGGTTTAGGGTGAGGGTACGCAGATTTTGTCAATTCAGGACTATACCCTTAAAGTTTCCTCAAGGGGTTCTATAAGGGTTCTAAAGAGAATTTAATAAATATACCGTACCTTAACTCATATTAGGGGTCCTATTCTAGTGTGAGGGGTCTGCCTTGGTTAAGGAACGTGCTTTAACTCATATTCTGGGCCGGAGTGGGGACTGGGAGGGGCACCTCTATGTATGTCTATAACACGACATGTAAGGGCTTACTGTATACTATGGTGGCTGCAAAGGGTACTATATTTCATTACGTTGTAGAAGACTAGGATACCCAGTAACCTAAGAATAAAAAGGCCTCTCTTTTTGGTATTGGGTAACTTTATAAGGAACCTAGGACTACAAAAAGGGAATAAGGGTACTACTGGGCATCCTAGAAGAGGTATGAGGAAACGAAGGGATGCTGAAAGGGGTAGGGCTTGCAAGGGGTACTACAGTTGAAAGGATGGACTTGACTGCGCACTAGAGGGGCCTGAAGGCCTGAATAATTACCAGTACTAAATTGGGAGTTCCTTTTTGCAGTTATAGTATAATTCTCCAAACCCCTATTCTCATTATTAAGGCCCCTATATCACTTGAGGCCGGCGCTGTGGCCGGGGTGACAGGCCGCGCAGGTGCTGCAAGCTCCATCTCTCGAAACCTACCGCCTTGAAAGTCAGGTCGCTCACGTGTGCAGCGAGGACCTGCCTTGCAGACCATAAACCTTAAACCCTAAACCCTAAACCCTAAACCCTTTCTCAGACTTTAAGGCCTCTGTGCCTGAAGACGCTGTCTGAGCCAAATGCGCGGCAAAGGCCAATCTTGCTACCCTCGCCAGGGTGCTCTTTCAACCGTGCATGAGATCGAAGTGGGAAGGCAACACGCAGCTGCAAGGAGCCTTTCGAGCTTGTTTAGGCTTCGTCTCAAGATCATATAGGGGGGTTAATAATGAGAATTTGGGCTTTGGGGTATATTAAGGAACCCCTAGCAATAGTATTGGCAGTTATGTAGGCCCCTATATTAAGGGGCATGGGACATCCTGGGACCGCTGCCTCAAGCAGCTGGATGCACTGTTCCATGCGCCGGTCCCAAGGCAAGCTACTGGACGGAAGAACCCTAAACCCAAACACTTGAACCTTCATGAACCCTAAACCCTAAAACCCCTAAAACCCGAAACCCTTTAAACCCCTGAAACCTCTTAAATCCCTGAAACCCCTAAAAACCCCAAAAAACCCTCAGAACAGTACCCGACGCTATGCTCTAGAAAGACGCGCTCAGCTCAGGCCATGCCCATCTCCATCCCGGCAAGCTCAATCGCGTTGAGAGAATGCTGCATGGAGTCAAGGATCCTCGACTCTTCTTAGGGTTTAGGGTTTTGGGGTTTTGGGGTTTTGGGGTTTAGGGTTTAGGGGTTTTGGGGTTCTGGGGTTTTGGGGTTTGGGGGTTTAGGGTTTAGGGGTTTAGGGGTTTGGGGGCTTAGGGTTTTGGGTTAGGGTTTAGGGGTTTTGGGGCTTAGGGGTTTAGGGGTTTAGGGTTTTAGGGGTTTAGGGGTTTAGGGTTTAGGGTTTAGGGCGTAGGGGTTAATGTAGGAACCTTATAGATCACTTACAGGGAACTCCAGAAAGTTGGAATATGGTTTCATGGTAGGATACCCTATAATTTACCATAGAAGGGTTAGGATAGTCATATTCCAACTTTCTGGCTTTTACCTTATAGTGCTGCATGGAGTCGAAGATCCTAGGCTCTTCTTGCGGGAGCAGGACCCAGAGACTCCAAAACCCCTTAGCTAAGGAATGGACCTTAGACTATAATGGGATTCCTAACATGGTTCAACGTATATGTATCCCGGGCTCTTGTTAGCTTAAGTTGCTGCCATAGTTGGGGAAATCATATTATTGTCATAAGATGGAAACTAGAGTGCTACCACAATAAGAAAACCATCTTATTTACCATAAACCCCTATTCTAGTAGCTTAACTTAAGCTCCTTACCAAGAACCTCCAAAAATGGAATCTAACTGAAGCTCCTTAAGAAGAGCCCAGGCTCGGAGGTTGGGTTTCCATCCGCCTCCCCCACTCCTCCTGCGAGGATAGGAGCCTGAGGTACGCAACTCCATGGACGGCTTCCTCGCCCTCGACTCTGTAGCCATAGCCTGGGCTCAACCCTAAACCCTACACCATCAGGGTTTAGGGTCGTGGGCCTTTGAGAACTTTAGGGCTTTAGGCTTGTGGGTTTCACGGGACATAGCTGAATTTGCTATAAGGAGGAATCCATCTTCCTTACTTTCGATCCTGACCCCCCAATGTGGCATCTTAAATACACATCCCTTTCTGTGGCATTTCAACACAGATGCCTATTATTTTGGCTACTTAGATCTAGATCCCCATGATGCTCCATTCCTCAACAACCGCCCGGTAGCTTTACTATAGGTCCCCCCCAGACCCCCGGGAGGATCTAGAAAGTAGATCCCCTAATTTGGGCCCTTATACTACTAAGGGTACTTTGTAGGAACCCCCATTAAGGGATCTACTTTTTGGATTTTTCCGGGGGTCTGGGCCATTATGGTCACTTAACTCAGGTTCCTCAACTGGGCTTTTAAGTAACCAGGGGTAAAAAAGTATAAACTTTTATTTCATACTGGTTCCTTTAAGACAAAAAGCATTAAAGTATGGTACTCCAAAGCCCAGTAAACCCTAAACCCTAAACCCTTAACTCAGGTTCCTCAAGAGCAGCCCAGCGACAGCGCCGGAACCGGGGACCGTAGCCTAGGCCTCCCATACGGAAGGACAGGTAGAGCAGAGCGTGGCTCATGCCCGTCATCACCTTAAGCTGCCGGGCTTACTTAAAGGGCTCCTTAAAGGGCTCTACAAGGGTTCCTTAAAGGGTTCTATAATGGATCTATAAGGGTTTAGGGTCTACTCAAAGGATCAACCTTAACCCAGAGGCTCCAATAACCCTTAATTCAGGAAAATACCTTCAATTATGGTAAGATCCCTAATATGATTTAAGGGATATTCCTTGATTAAGGGGTTTTGGAGTCTCTGGGAAGGTGCCGGGCTTCGAAGCCCACAGAAGTGTACACTTTCAGCTCAAGAAGGTTTAGGGTTTAGGGATTAGGGCTTAGGGTTTAGGATTATCAACTTAGCCAGAGAGCCCAATACACCTAAACTGAGGAATATAGCTTAAATCATAACATGAATCCCCTTATAGTATAAGGTATACTCCTTAATTAAGGGATATTGGGCTCTTTGGGCAGTTGCCGGATTTATAAGCACACAGAAGTGTACACTTTCAGTAAGTTCTGTAAGGACACATGCTAGTACAACTACTACCACTACTACTACTACGACGACTACTACTACTACTACTACTACTACTACTACTACTACTACTACTACTACTACTACTACTACTTTGCCACAAAGTGCAAAACGTACTCACTCAGCTACGGAGTCACAGTGGAGCCAGAACTCCGGCTCTTTGAGACAGGCACTCCGGGAGCGCAAGTCTGCTGGTGCTTCCTGGGTTCTTGTTAAGGGCTCCTAAAGAATAACCCTTCAAAAGGCTCTATAGGGCTTCCTTTTCAGGGGTCTACAAGGTTCAGGGGTTTAGGGTTCTAGGGTTTATCCTACTTAGGGTCCTGATAATGTGGATCCTACTATTTTGGGGTCCCTACATTTCGGATCCTACAATTTAGACAAGGGACTTAATTTAAGTTAACATAATACAGATACCATATCCATATTTACCTTAGATCCCGACTGTGGGAACGTAACTTAAACCCCTTAATAAGAACCCAGCTTCTTCAAGAATTGGACCAGGCCAACCTGATCCTCGTCATCCTCGATGATGAGAGCTGCCTTTACATCCTCATCCGTGTAACCGGAGAGATCTTCCAGGCGAGCCATAACAGCCCTGAACCTGGACTTTGAAGTAACCAGGGAGAAAACAGGATAGACTTTTATTTCATAATGGTTTCCTTAAGGAACAGGTACCAAAAAAAAAGTATTCAAGTATGGTACTCCAAACCAAGGGAACTCCTCCGCATCGCGCCGGCGTGTAGCCTGCGTCAAGTCGCGAAGGGCTTCGAGGGCGTCGCGTCGGTTTGGTGCCTGCTCTGTGTGCCCGGACTTCGTCTGCAAGCGGCTGACGACCCGCCGCGCTTCCGTAACCTGGGTTCTCGTGCAGGAATCTGACTTAAGTTACTTGTTCGGAGTCACCAAACTATTTACTGTAGACCCCTATTGCACGGTGAGATAAATTAAAGTCTTTAGGAAATAACCCTTTTAACAAGATCCCTATTGTATGGTAACTTACAAAAGTCTTTCACAAGAACCCAGAAACAGTAGGGAGTAAGTAGACTTATAAATACCCTGAAAGGGACCCTAATTGGGGTTATGGTACTTAAAAGTCCTTAAAATAACCAGTTACTAAGTCCCCCGACCCTCCAAGTAACGAGGGCAGCGTCTTTGCTGGACTTCGCAGCGATCAGTGCCTTCTCGGCAGACTTCAAAGCAGCAGCCGTCCCGCCCATAAAGTCCTCGACTTGCGATAGCTTCCCCTTAGACTTACCTTTGGTTACTAGGGAGTGGAGGAATGGGGTACAATTCTGACTACCATTACTACCACCATTACTACCATTCTTCCATTCCCTACTAACCAAAGGTAAGACGATGGATACTTTGAACCCACAAAGAACTACCAATGAACCTCCAAGAGTGCAAGGGCAAGGGCCTAAAGAGTAGATCCTTTCAAAAGTCCTCGACTTGTGATAGCAGCAATAGGGTCTGACCCTCCAACTCAGCAGCTGCTGTTCCTTTCAGCAATTCCACGGCCTTCCTCAGAGCGCTGCGAGCCTCTCCGTAGATTTTCCTTGCGATGTAAGCATCTGCCAAGATCCTGGGCTCTTGTTCAGAGGAACATAAGTTGAGCTACCATAGTGGGAACCTATAGTGAATGTACAGAAAATGATAGGGTTACCATAAAACATAATTCTACTATAGATCTCGCGCATGGAAAAAGTTTAAGTTGCTAATATAAACCATGTGATCAATGATTGTCTGTAGATCCCGAGCATGGTATCTAAAACTAAGTTCCTGAGAACCCAGGATGTCGGAACCTAAGTTACCATTACAAAATATATGATGCATGGTTCTACATTCAATTAAACTAGCACCCTAAAATGGTATGGTTTGTCCTTATCACAAGGACCCCAAAATGAGGTACCCCGAATTGCCAGAAACTCTAAACCCTTATAGAGCCATTTAAAGGAACCCTTACAGTACCCTTTTAGTAGCCCTTTAAAGGAAGCCTTTAAAAAAAATCTTTAATCTTCGGAAATCTCAAATTCAGCTCCTCAATGGGTAGCATGATGAGGGAGAGCCCTTAAACGGGTACCCCTTCCGAACCCTACTTCCGGCTCTCTTACAAGGGCCTTATTGAGAGGGTCTATATCCCCGAATCTCCCCCTAATCCTAACTCCCACTCCAAAAGGAACCTACTTTGGTTAGCAAGGAATGGAAGAATGGTAGTAATAGTAGTTATATTATAATTGTACCCCATTCCTCCATTCCCTACTAACCAAAGGTAAGTTAAGGGATCGTTCGAGGGATCCTTTAAAGGAACCCTTCAAGGAACCCTTAACCGAAGCTTTATTTAAAAGGGGCAATAAATTGAACCTTCCTAGTAACCAAAGGTAAGAAAAAGCAAAACCCAGGATCTGGTACGCCGAGACCTGCCCGGCCACATCCTGCTCGGACTCGAAGAGGCTCAGCTCCTCTTTTTGTCATGCTTGAGACAGTATTAAAAAGGACCCCAGAAAAGTCCAAAAGTGTTACTCAACCATGACTACGCAATTTTGGGTTTAAGTGCCTTTAAACAGATATAAAGGTCACTCAAATATGACACAAAGTCCTCTTCTGTGGCCTGAAGTGTGGCCAAGGTATCCAAGCCCAAGCTGCGTGTCAGAGTGTCCAGTGCCGCCAGCCGGCCACGTCGATGTCTGAGCCTGAGCTCTTGCTAGGGAGCGTGACTTAACTTACCAAATTCAAGGAAGCCACAGTCTTGACAACTCAGATCCCCATTCCGCGAACTGAAACCGTAAAACCTTGCTAATCATTTAAGTTACCAAGTTAAGAAAACCATCTTCTGTTACAGTATATGCCTGTTCTGGCAACTTAAGTCCTAAAGCCTTATAGAACCCTCATAGTCTTATGAACCCAGGTTCTCGTAAAAAAACCTTATAGAGCCCTCATAATCTCATATTTACCCTTACAGAACCCTTATAGTCTTACCGGTCCAAGTTAACTTGACCCTAAACCTCATTATGGAACCCAAATAGTCTTGTGGATCCTACTCTCCTAAGTTCCTAAGCCCTAAACCCTAAACCTTGAGCCATAACTCCTGTAACTTAACTTAACTTCAACCCAGTAGCCTGGGTTCTTGTTACGGGCTTTAGCTTAAGTTACCAAAATAAGGAACCAACATTATTTCCTTTAGATCCCTATTACGGTAGCTTTCACCTTAAACCCTTAACCCTTAAAGGAACCCTTATAGACCCCTTGCCTATAAACCCTAAACACCCAACTTGAACGCAGCAGCTGCCGGAAGAGGTATTATAGTACTCTTAAAGCAGCCCTTGTAGAATCCCTTTAAGGATCCCCTGAAAAGGAACCCTACACTGATTATTAGCTTGAACCCTAAACCCCAAACCCTAAACCCCAAACCTGAAACCCTGAACCCTAAACCTTAAACCCTAAACCTGAAACCCTGAACCCTAAACCCTAAACCCTGAAGTAAAAGCCAGAAAGTTGGAATATTATTATCATAAACCCTTTCTGGCAAATTATAAGGTATCCTACCCTGAAACCATATTCCAACTTTCTGGAATTCCCTTCAAAGCCTAAGCACCGAACTTGAACCCAGGTGGCTGCCGGAAGAGCTCCTGCGCGCGTCGGGCGGCTCCCTGGGCCTCCAGGCCGTTTCCCTGCAAAAGCCGGGCTTCCGCAACGCCAAAGAGCATCGCTGCAGCCTCGCCCTCCTTTTATAGGGTTTAGGGTTTAGGGTGTAATACATCATAATAACAATAAGAACTAATGGAAAGATAATAGCAATAGTTCATAATATTAATATTCTGATTATTAATAGCAATATATACTATTTATTGTATAACAATTAACTCTATTAATGACAATGATAGTAATAACAGTGTTGAAGATGTTACTTCTATGAATACTATTAGTACTATTAGTTAACATTGAAATGCCCTCCGAAAGGCTACACAGCCGGCTTTGTTGGTTCCTTAAGACCTCCAGGGGTTGTGTTTGCGGGTCGGGGTTTAGGATTTAGGCCTTTACTTGAAGGCTCATGGGACTTAGTAAGTAAGGTTATAAGTAGGTTATAATTAGGATAACCCCACTTAGGGGACTTATAACCCCAATTATAACCTACTTACCAAGTCCCATGAACCTTTAAGTAGGGCCTTTTGGGATTAGGCTCTGCTGCGCCTAAGAAGGCTCCTGATTCAGAATCCTCGGCCCTACAACCCCGCTATTTCAGGATTCATATGGGTAGTTGTCAAAATTAAGGTCCCTTTTTGGGTACCCTAAAATAATAGGCGCCGTATTATAAAAAGGACCCAAAAAGGGCCCATGATTTTGACAAACACCCATATAAAGAGCCCTAAAGGGTTTGAAGGGAACTCCAGAAAGTTGGAATATGGATTAATGGTAGGATCCCCTATAATTTACCTTAAAGGGGTTACGATAATCATATTCCAACTTTCTGGCTTCTACTGTAGGGTTTAGGGGTCAGGTCCCTGCTCTGAACCCGAAGGAGGCTCCTTGTCCCCAAGCCTCCGGAGAAGCGCGGCTGTTTGGTTCGAGGACTCCAGGGATGCAAAGGGCGAGTCGCCCTTCGCCTGGGCTCTTATCAAGGCTTAAGTTACCACAACTAGGATACCCAGTAACCTAAGAATAAAAAGGCCTCTCTTTTTGATATTGGGTAACTTTATAAGGAACCTAGGACTACAAAAAGGGAATAAGGGTACTACTGGGCATCCTAGACAATAGGGTTCCTTAAGGGTCTCAATTATCACTACAGCGATCCATGCCACAAGGGTTCCATCATGGCTTATTAAATTCCTCAACAAGGTCCCAGTTGCGGCCTCTTGCAGCACTTTTCTGGCTGCGCTCCTTCAAGGAAGAGTGCGACTGAACCGACAAAATATTACGGCAACTTGTTAACAAGTCAAAGCTTGTCCCGCCTGCCCCTGACCCCCAAATCCTAAACCCTCTACCCTAAACCCGAAACCCGACACCCTAAACCCTAAGCCCCGCCTGCCGAAAAAGAGGAAGAGGAGAGCCATTACGTGCAACGCTTCGCACTGGCCGTCATCATCCCGAGTTTCTCGTGCCAGCGCGAGAGCCTTCAGAGGAATGGAACTCGGTGCGCAAGACTGGCAACTCGTCCCCCAGCCAGCACTCTCGCCCCCTTCGAAACCAGATTAGGCCGCACAAACCTACAAAAATCCCTAAAGAAGGCACCCCTAAAGCCAGCATCTTTCCATCCGCCTCCCAAGCCGACACAGCGGCCGGGGCCATCGCTTCCGCAGCGAGATGGGCATTGGCTTCCTGGGCCGTGCATCGCGAAGGCCGTGAGGCGATAGCACTGTTGCAACCGCCCCAAGCCCCCTCAACCCTAATAACTATGACAGGGAACTCTAATCTTATAAGGTATTATGATAGGGTACTATAAGGTCCCTTTAAAAGTTAAGGGCACTATGAGGGTACTATAAGGGTGCTGTAGGGGGTACTTTAAAGCTCAAGACGCGACCCTGCCGAAGATTTGAAGACTTACCGGCATTACTCCTTAAGCGGTTTAAGGTGCTAGTCCCAAACCGTAAACCCCGAACTCTGTCTGACTCAGCCCGGATGCTGCCACATGGAGTCGGAGAAGAAGTGCCCTGAATCAGCTGGATGCGACTCAGTCATGAAAACTTGAAGCATCTCATGCAAAACCCTACACCCTACCATAAGGGTTGCTAGAAGGGTTCCTACACCGAGTACCATAACTGGACTTTGAAGTAACCAGGGAGAAAAAAAGAATAGATCTTTTTGTTTCATAATGCTTCCTTTAAGGAACAGGTACCAACAAAAGTAATCAAGTATGGTACTCCAAACCCAGGATAAGGGCTACTATTCGGGGCCTCTGCGGAGTGCTCCTTTCAGGGGTGCTATACAGCTTTCTATGCTGCAAGGGATACTTTTCGGAAAAATGCCCTGAACCCGAAGGCTCCAAAATCCCTTAAGTAAGGAATACCCCTTGAATTATAATAGGATCCCCCGATATGGGTCAAGTTAGATTCCTTATAGTCGCTGGGGACCCTCCACCCCAAAACCCAACAAACCCAACAACCTTCACAAGTATGGTTACCTCATTTAGAACCCTAGTGAATAAGCCCCATGATCCTTCAAGTGCCCCTACCACCCCCCTTATAGAACCCTGGTAGTGGCTCCTGTTAAACAACCCTTCAAAGTGACTAAGCCCCATAATCCTCGAAGTACCCTGAACCTTCGCGCCTGTTTTGCTTCTCCGATGACGAGCCCTTTCGAGAAATGATCTGTCGACCTGGGAACGACGCTCAAAATACGGACCCCTAAACCCTAACAACCATCAACCCGAGCCTGTTGAGGGAGTCTTAGGACTGAGGGGTATCTATACCTGGACCCTACGGAACCTACATTTTTAGGGTTCCCTAATATGATTTCTTTATATAAGTCCTTAAAAAGGTAGGTTACGTGGGGTTAAGGTAAGGGTTTGGGTTTCAGTTTGGGTTTAGGGTTTAACACGGTCTAGGGCTTAGGGTTTTGGGCTTAAGTGTTTAGGGAATGCGAGCCTGGGGCTTCGGCGTTTCAGGGCTTAGGGTCCGGGGTTGAGTTTGGGGCTTCGGGTTTTCAGGGCTTCAGGTTTCGGGAAACTCACTGGTCTTTCACCCTAATCCCTAAACCCTAAACCCGGATCCCTAAACCCTAAACCCTAATCCCTAAACCCTAATCCCTAAACCCTAAACCCTAATCCCTAAACCCTAAACCCTATAACCCAATAAACCCCCCACCCTTCTGGCGCCTTCGCTTGCGTAGCCCTGCGCCGTCTTCGCATCCCCGGCCTGCCCCAGGATTGAGCTGCAGAACAAAGGCAGAAGATGCCTACTTAGAGGATCATGGGACTTAGTAAGTAGGTTATAATTGGGGTTATAAGTCCCCTAAGTGGGGTTATCCTAATTATATCCTACTTATAACCTTACTTACTAAGTCCCATGAGCCTTCACGTAGACCCTAAACCCTAAACCCTATAGATCCCTTTTAAGGAACCCTATAGATCCCTTTAAGGATCCCTTTAAGGAACCCTACTTACTAAGTCCCATGAGCCTTCACGTATGATCTGGAGTGCAGGGTCCAGAGTTTAAGGAGATCCACAGTTAGAAAGCATCTCTTTTTTTTTGAACGACCCTTTTCTCTCCGCCGAAACGTCTGAAAGCGGAGCATCTGGGCTTTAGGGATTTAGGGTTGAGGGTTTAGGGTTCAGGGTTCAGGTTCCAGAGTTTACTTGAAGGCTCAGGGGACTTAGTAAGTAAGGTTATAAGTACCCTAATTGGGGTTATAATTATAGTTACCTTATTTATAACCCTAGTTACTAAGTCCCATGATCCTTTAAGTAAGGTTTAGGGTTTCGAGGATTTAGGTAGACATGGTGAGGGCTTAGGGCCTGGAAGTCGGGGCTTCTTGGTTTCTTCAAGCTCCTTTTTCCACCGGCAGGTGAGATCCACAATTAGAAAGCATCTAGGCGCTTTAGGGTTTAGGGTTTAGGGTTTAGGGTTTAGGGTTTAGGTAGGGATCTAGGGTTCCTGGTGCTGGCGGCATGAAGCTGAGTCTGTGCATTTACCTTTCTGCCTGCCTGCCTGTCTGCCTGCCTGCCTCTCAAGCTGCTCGCGTTTTATCACTGTTTCTTGGTATATTATTTCTGTATATATATATATATATATATATATAAATACTTGGTCACCCCCCCCCCCATGACAGACCATGCCCTTTCGACTCAGTCGTAGTGCATGGTCTGTGATCGGGGGGAGGGGGCACTCAGCTTTCAAAGCCTCAATTCCAAAATTTCCAAAATTTCCAAAATTCTCTCCCCTAACTTTCCGGATTTCCAAAATTTCCAAAATTTCCAAAATTTCCAAAATTTCCAAAATTTCCAAATTTCCAAAATTTCCAAAATTTCCAAAATTTCCAAAATTTCCAAAATTTCCAAAAAGTCCGCCCTTATGTTTTGGAAAAATCCTGTCGACTAGGTCGGGAAATTTTGGAAATTTTGGAAATTTCGGAAATTTTGGAAATTTTGGAAATTTTGGAAATTTTGGAAATGCGGAAAGTTAGGGGAGAGAATTTTGGAAATTTTGGGAAATGCTGGAATCTGTTCTATATATGACTCAAGTAAGATTACTGTGTAGTGCTTACTATGTAGTGTATCAGCACAACCCTCATCCATACACGTGTGCTCTGTAATTCCTTTCTTGGTAGGACACCCGCGCGCCTTGTCGTGCTAGTCTCCGCATCGGACCAGATTACTTGCAAAGGCAAGGGCTGTCAATACTCATGCCCATATTTACACGAATATCTCTCTATCTATCTGTATATCTATATATACATATATGTATTGATACTCCTACATATAGTATTGCCATTGAACATACTGACATTGATCATTTGTTGAATGCTCAAGCTAATACCAGCATTACTACTAATATTACACTTCTATAAAGCTTAGTACGAATATGCATAACACAAATACTAAGATTGATTAGTATTGCTCTTAGTACTCCTACGCATATCAATAACCATATTCATATTGATAATAATGTATAATAATACCAATACTAACACACACCTGTATGTACTAATGTACATAAACATGCATACCACCATATTAAAATACAAATCCTTTAACTCACTCATGAATTCAACTGTTAGAATTTCACGTGGTCAAGAGTAATAACAATACAAACATTCTTTCGAATGTATATCATCAATAATATGCTAGTACTAACGCTAACACTACTGCTAATACTTAACACAAAATCTATACTAACATCAATATTTACATAGCTATTTATACTCCTACGAATACGAATACGTAAACCCTTGTGCGTTAACAGTAGTGCTATCACCAACACTAATACGGACTTTGATAATCTGCTGCATATTCAAGAATGCCACTAGTATTACCAGCATGAACACTCATATTATGGCTATTACGAGTATAAATAGTCCTACTTCTACTAGTATTGACATTAATACTCCTACGAATACCAATAGTATATTCATATTGATATGAAAACTAATACCATTACTAATAGACACCTGCATATACTCATGTACATAAAATACGTACCACTATCTTAAGATACAGATATATACATCAGTGCATTCATGTATTAATGCTTTGGCATAGGCATATACCCATATACCAATGTATCAATATACTTCTCGTTGTTGTATGAATATACTATACGAATATGTGACTATAATCATATACGGCTACTGCACTATGCAAGAATACCGACATGACAAGTTCGTATACTAATATGCCAACATACTGATATACTTATACATGATTAGATAAAACAGTAATATAGTACACATATTCGTACACTAATATGCTAACGTACGAATATACTGGTATGTCAATATACTAGTAAGCTAATACAGCAGTATAGTAGTGTAGTCATGCACCAGTTGTACTAACATGTAAAATATACTAGTATACAAGTATGCAAATATTTTGCTGTCCGAATACATTGATGTATTGATATACTAATCTGCTAATATACGAGACTATCAATATACTAACATATCAAAACTAACTAGTTCTAATATTGATACTAATACTAGCACTTCTGCGAATATAAGCTGCTGTTAAACCCAGCATTAAGACTGATACTGATACTACTCGTAGCAGTGGTGCTGTATTACTGACATTGACACTGGCACTAGCGCTAACTCTAACACGAACATGAGCACTAACACTAATTTATAGTTGGCAATATTGATACGTATACTTACAGCAAGCAATAGTACTAATATTAATAACAATACTCACCCTAATACCGATACTACCACAAGACTATTACGTAACTCATGTGCCGCACGTCTGGTGCTATACTATATACCTCATGTAACGGTTTTGCTTCACAGAATATCGTTGTGCACGGTGTTTTTTAGACCCGTGGTCTGTCACCGGGGGGGGGGTGAGCAAATACTTATATGCGCAGCATAAGAATACAAATCTATACACGCATATGCGACTGTGTGAGCATCTATGTCTATACGTATACACATATACACATGTACACATGTACACATGTACACATATACACATATACACACATACACACATACACATATGCACGTATGCATATATGCACCTATACACATATACACATACATGTATGTACATACATAGATACATACATACATACATACGTACCTACAAGTAATATGTACATAGATGGTGTGCGGGTGTGAGTCCGTGTCTGTGTCTCTCTGTGTCTCCGTCTGTACGGAGGCATATCTTTGTGTGCATCGTGAACATGTATACCGAAGAAAAATTGCACGTGAGGGTGTGGAAGTTCATACATACATGAGATAGATTGATAGATATGTAGATCGGTAGGAGGGTAGATAGATAGACAGGTACATAGATAGATAGATGAATAGGTAGGTAGATAGATGGATACATAGATAGATGATAGACTTGTTAATCAGATAGAGATACATATGTAGGTGGATACGTAGATAATAATGAATTTTGCAGGACAGGATTAAGCTAGATTAAATCATAATAATTGGGTTAGATTAGTTAGGTAGGCTAGATTAGATGGGATAGGTGGACGGACAGACAGACTAGATGGATAGTCGGAGAAGCCAGGATCGGACCAGATGGATGCCCCCACTACAACGGTATACTACTGAACATTCGCATCCACGTAAACCTTTTTGTGGCTCCTTGTTGCATACTGACTGCAGCATCGCAGCTGCTTCTTCGTGTGAGTATGACCCTAAACCCTAACTTAAACTTGCGCTAAACCCTAAACCAGATAATCTGCGCCAAGCAGCTGCAAGGGCCACGCTGCTCTGAGCCGCGAGCAGAATTGCCTGACTCTGCTGATCTCCTGAGAGGAGTTGGGGTTTGGGGTCTCTGGGCTTCTTGGTATTGGGATTTATTAGGGTTGAGGGTTTATGGCTTTCTGGGCCTTTTTTGCGGAGAAAGCGGCACCTTACTACCGACATTCCGACATCTTGTCAGGTTTGTTTCTAGGTAATACAGGGTCTTGCCAAATAGGATCTGGTTGTAGAGTAGCTTATAGGTCTACATAACTAATTACTCCGACCCCTACATCAATCAGGGTTGGGCTTTGCAGTGGCGGCCGCAACGTCATGCGCAGACCTCCTGCATGGAGTAATCGTGCCACTTTAGCCCCTGATCGGTTTCACTTAGGCACATGATGTAGTAGAGCCCATGAACATTCGATCTCATGTTTCAAGATGCTGTAAAAAGTTGAGAGCGCCTGCACTTCGGCTCGCGTTGAGTTCAGCGCCCAACACCTGCTGTGCCTCCGGAGCGGACTGGGGTGTGATGAAACCGCCCTACACCCTGAATCCTAAACCCCCAAGTTCTTCGGATTCTGCTGAAGCTACGCTGGGAACACTGCTGGGAGACATTACGGCTTAAGGTTGTTCTGCTTGGAGGATCAGGGGACTTAGTAAGTATGGTTATAAGTCCCGTAATTGGGAAGTATAGTTACCTTGTTTATAACCCTCTTTACTAACTCCTATGATCCTTTAAGCGGGTTACGAGGCTTAACCGTTTTACACGTTAGAGCTCCGGATACTTCTGGACTCGATCATGGACCCAGAGAGCCCAATACCCCTTAATTCAGGAATATACACTGACTTATAAGGGGATTCATATGATGGTTTAGGCTGCATTCCTTACTTGGGCTCTCTGGGGAATTTATGGTGCAAGGATTGCTTCGTGTAGACCCGCGTCACAGACGCAGGAGCCGATGATCTACCCTCCGGGTAGAGCAGTAAGGCTCGATGCCGGGCTCAGCACAAGAGACAACTTGCCATTCCCTCCCGCATGCCCAGTTTCGTACATCCAAAGGTCTGAAACCCAAACCCCTAACCTCTAAAATCCCCAACACCCCCCCCCCCCCCGCCCGTCTCACTCGACAAAAAACCAACAACTTCATCTGAAAAGGGTTGAGGGTTTAAGGTTTAGGGAGTCAAGAGCAAACAAAAAGGACGGCACAGTTTTCTTGGTCGGAAATTCCCTAAAACCCTACACCCTAAACCCTTAAATTCTGGGCACCTCCACGGCACGGCCGGCGGACACCAAAGCCAGGCCTTGCAAGCCTCGGACAGCCGATAAAACACAGCTACTTGGAGGGGCAGGGGACTTAGAAAGTGGGTTTCTTAAAGGGTTCCTTAAAGGGATCTATAAGGGCTCTGTAAGGGGGAGGGTTTAGGGTCTACTTGGAGGGGCACGGGACTTGGAAAGTGGATGATAAGTAGAGGCATACGTACCCCCAGAGAGCCCAATACCCCTTAATTAAGGAACATACCTTAAATTGTAAGGGGATTCATAATATGATTTAAGCTATATTCCTTAATTAAAGGGTATTGGGCTCTCTGGGCCCTAAATGGAGTTACCGCCAATTATAGTCCTGCTTATAACAGACTTACTAAGCCCCCTGCCCCTCCAAGTAGACGTGTACCCTATGAGAATTTCCGAAAGTAGGGGTACCTTATTTTGGGGTCCGTATAAATAAGGATCCTACTAGGGTACTACATAAGGGTCCCCCTATTCTCGGAAACTCCCATATGGCCCTCAGGTTTAGGGTTTAGGGGTTTAGGGTTTAGGGTCTAGGGCAGGGGGTACTTACTATAATGTGGGGGCATTACTATAATTTTAGCAGTAGGGTATAGGGTTCCTTTTAAGCGGTTACCCTATGGGCTACTATCAGGGTTAAAAGGTACTTACAATATGGCCCTTAATAATTCGAACAACAGTTTTGGGCCATACTATAATGTTACTATGATATATTCTATATAGAATAATAACAATAATAATAGAAGTACTGAAAAACTAATAGTAAGACGGAGCCCTATAATGATAGTAATACGGAGCCCTCGGGAACAATGCAAGCAAGAACTCAAGCTTCTCTGCATTAGAGGGTTCTCGGAAAGATAGTCCACGACACAGGGTATAGGAAGATAACAAAGAACGAGAGAGAGAGAGAGAGAGAGAGAGCAAGAGCGAGAGCGAGCTGCTTGCTTTCGGGGCGCCCGAAGTGAAGACTTGTTACGGTATAGGATTTGAGCTTCAGGGAGTTCAAGGTTTAGAAAGGACAGGAGAGGAAAGAGAGACACAGAGAGGGAGAGGAAAGAGGGGCTGCCGCAAATCCTGCTAAAGCATACTAAAACTGCGGCTACTGATGTAGGGGCTTGAATAATTAGAACAGGGTTGTGGCGCCCATTATGCTATAGTAATAATAATAACAAGAGCCCCCAAGATAGTACTGGTAACTGTTTAAGCCCCTATAGTACGGACCCAGCACTGACTACACGTGCCCAAACCGGCCCAGGTCAAGGTGTTGCTTGCACCGTGGAGCTGAACCTTCCTAAAGTATCGAGACTTCGTTCACTCGAGCACACAAGGGCGGTTGTCAAAATTAGGGTCCCTTTTTGGGTACCCTGAATATTAGGTGCCGTCTTATATTAAGGACCCAAAAAGGTATCATAATTTTGACAACCACCCACAAATAAACGGGTCCGCACGATGGGAAATCCACACACACTGATGGATTCAGCCAAGAGCACGAGTGCAGGAAGGGGGAGAGAGAGAGGCGAGAGAGAGGCATGTTGTCGTCGTAAAGTCGTGTCGTGAGGATGAGGGTCCTGTCCTTTGTCGTCGTCAAATGCCGAGTAGTAGGGATAAGGGTCCTGTCCCTGGCATTATAATGTGAGGATAGGTTTCGGTCCCCGGAGCCAGACATAGAGAATGGCTGCCACTGCCACGGTCAAAGTGCGATGTCCGGGCAGGGCGTAAAACGTTCGAAATGCCAAGTAGTAGGGATTGGGTTCCGTCCCTGGCACATCGGGGATATGGTTTCGGTCCCCTTGCAGGTACGTTACAGCACCTTGCTATCAGGCTCTTCGTTGGCCACTCCCTGGTAGCAAGGCTGAATGGCCCCCTGCAAACGTCCACATGTGAAAACAGAAGGAGTGACCCTCTGCTCCCATGTGCTAAGGAGGTTCACACACACACAGCCCCGTCTGGGGCGTGTATTGAGGGAAGTCAAGAAAGAGGTCAAGAAAGAAAGAGACGAGAAAGAGTGGCCAATTACTTCCCGGAGGAAGCTGCGATCCCTTGCACTAGCCGAATGTTACTGCACCTGCACTCATGTCGGAATCGCATGCCCTTGCATTCCCTGAGAAGGAAGAGACAGAATAAGGACAGCAGAATAGCGAGGTAATCCTGTGCATTAGCGGCCAATTACTGCACTAGACGCCAGTTACTGCACCTGCACTCATGTCAGACTGACATGCGAGCATCAGAGAGAGAGGGGAATAAGTAGCATCGGGAGCGATATATAACCGGTCTCCCACGAAGGGTCACCACGGCGCCTTGACGGAAAGCCGTTGCTCTGGAGTCTCATGACCCACGCTGATCACACTGATGGATTCGGCCAAGAGCACGAGTGCAGGAAGGGGGAGAGAGAGAGAGAGAGGCGAGAGAGAGGCATGTTGTCGTCGTAAAGTCGTGTCGTGAGGATGAGGGTCCTGTCCTTTGTCGTCGTCAAATGCCGAGTAGTAGGGATAAGGGTCCTGTCCCTGGCATTATGATGTGAGGATAGGTTTCGGTCCCCGGAGCCAGACATAGAGAATGGCTGCCACTGCCACGGTCAAAGTGCGATGTCCGGGCAGGGCGTAAAACGTTCGAAATGCCAAGTAGTAGGGATTGGGTTCCGTCCCTGGCACATCGGGGATATGGTTTCGGTCCCCTTGCAGGTACGTTACAGCACCTTGCTATCAGGCTCTTCGTTGGCCATTCCCTGGTAGCAAGGCTGAATGGCCCCCTGCAAACGTCCACATGTGAAAACAGAAGGAGTGACCCTCTGCTCCCATGTGCTAAGGAGGTTCACACACACACACACAGACACACGCATCGACCCCCGAGGCCCGAAACCCAACTAAATCTTCAACCCAGAGAGCCTAATACCCCTTAGTTAAGGAATACAGCTTAAATCATAATATGAATCCACTTATAATTTAAGGTATATTCCTTAATTAAGGGGTATTGGGCTCTCTGGGAACCCCCAGAACCCTTAAAGCCCAAACCCTGAACAAGTAAGCCTTCAAGACCGAAAACCGTAACCACCTTTGCGGCCAGAGCAGTTCCTTAGAACCCCTAATCTGGGGTTCTTAGAACCCGGCTCACTGCTTCCGCGACCAGCTGCAGGTTCCCCGCGGCCCGGGCAGACCCAGCGACCTCTCGGGAAATGTGTCGCGGCCCAGCAACCCCTAAGGGGATCTATAGGGTTCCTTAAAGGGATCTATAGGGGTTAGGGTTTAGGGTCTACTTAGCGGATCGTGGGACTTAGTAACTAGGGATATAAATAAGGCAGCTACACTTATAATTACTTCTAACCCCAATTAGGGTACATATACGCTTACTAAGTCCCCTGATCCTCCAAGTAGCGGTTGAAGCTTTCGTGCTTTGTTTTCGTTTATTTTTTTCCAATGGCTTCACATGGTCGCCAGGGAAAGGCCTGGAGGTCAGGAGAAGGCGGCAAATCTGTGTGCCACCCTGATCCACCGTCATGCTGAAATCACATACGACCCTCAATTCATGCACAATTTCTGGCCGCACCCAGACGTCACCGCAGTCAGAACGTCACTCAAAGCCGGGCGTGCTACAGGTCGCTTGGTTGCTCGCTCGCTCGCTTGTCGCTTGCTCGCGCCCCTCGGCATGCCTCCTCGTAAAGCTATCGTAAATGATGATCGCCGAGAAGTTCCCTGTTGTGAGGCTGGATCTGGGGGGGGCCTGCGACATTTTAGCCGCAGGGCAGCCGAGCTAGAAACCATGCTTTAGGGTTGAGGGTTTAGGCTTTAGGGTTCAGGGCTTAGGGTTTAGGGTTTAGGGCTTAGGGTATGAGCCCGGAGCCTTTAAACAGGTGCAGGCCGCGCTTTTGCTCGAAACTCCACCCGTGAGAGCCGGGCTTCTGTGATAGAAGGGCCTTAATAATTAGAATAGGGTTTTGGGGCCCATTATACTATAGTTATAATAAGGAACCCCCACAATATTATAGGTAATTAATAAAGCCCCTTTTTTACATCTTCGGTGCGAGCGGAAGAGAAACGGTTCAGCAACCAACGATCAATTGCGACGCGAACACAATCCGACAAAACTGTAGAGGCAATGAATCTTGGAAAGCGCTAGACTCTTCCGAAAAAACCGCAGACAGAAGGAAAGGTTGGGGTGTAGGACGTGCTCGACTGCGTTCGTTCCGCATGACAAGCAACTAGAAAAAATCTTGCAGGTTCCCGAGCAACGACGGGCGTTTTTGCAACACCCAGAACACCTCCAAAACAACTGCAGAGACAAGAACACCATGGCTGGAGACATGCCGAAGCATAGGAACCCTTATAGAAACCCGAGGTAGGAATCCTCAATCCTACCGTAGATTTCGGCGGCCCCGACTTAGAGGATCATGGGACCTAGTAAGTAAAGGTTCTTAAAAGGCTCCTTAAAGGGATCTATAGGGTTTAGGATTTAGGGTCTAGGGTCTACTTGGAGGATGAGGTGACTTAGTAAGTAAGGTTACAAGTCCCCTAATTGGCGTTACAAGTAATTATAAGTATAGTTACCTTATTTAGAACCCCAGTTACTAAGTCCCATGATCCTTTAAGTACCCTTAACACCCCCTTACAGAGCCCGTATAGATTCCTCTAAGGAACCCTTAGCTACCAAGTCCCATGATCCTTTAAGTACCGTAGATTTCGCCGGCCCCGAGTCGCCTCCTTGGCCTCGCGTAGCGCCTCCTCCGGGGCGGACTTCGCGAGGCTCCGCCTCGGCAGCCACCGGGGGGGGCGTTTTACTCCGCGAGGAAGGGCTCCATAAGGGTTTCCAACAAGGGAGTTTCCGAAACTAGGGGCACCTTACTTTGGGGTCCTGACAATAAGGACCCTACTATTTAGGGTATATACTACATTAGGATCCCCTATGTTCGGAAACCCCCATGAGGGCTTCCTATAAGGAGGATTGTGTAATGGTTTCCTATAGGGGTTCCTGTTCAATACGGGTGTTTGTCAAAATTAGGGTCCCTTTTGGGGTACCCTAAATATTAGGTGCCGTATTATATTCGGCACCCAAAAAGGGACCGTAATGTGACAACCACCCATACAGAGTTAGGGTCTAATTAGGGCCAATTAGGGTTTCGGGTTCCTTTGAGGGCGCCTTGAAGGGAACGATCGGCTTCTACTTGGAGGGGCAGGGGACTTAGTAAGTAAGTTATAAGTAAGCTTATAAGTACCCTAAAGGGAGTTGCCCCAATTATAACCCTACTTATAAGCGACTTACCAAGTCCCCTGCCCCTCCAAGTATAAGGGATCTCTGAGGTCTTTAACGGCTTCGTGGCTTCATGGGTCTAGGGTTTTTTCGATGTTCGGGGTGGTTGTAGTGTTTTCGGGCGTTGGGACTGTAGGATTTCAAGGCTTCAGGGTCTTCGGGTTTTGGGGTTTAGGGTTTAAGGATTTTTGGATTCAGGGTTCTAGGATGCTGGCCAGTCCTGAACCCATCACTGAACCACCCGTAGCTACTTCTATCATCGGAACGCGGACGAATGAGGACCGCGAAGAACAAACCCTCAACCCAAACCCCAAACCATAAATCCCAAACCCCCAAACCATAAATCCCAAACCCCCAAACCATAAATCCCAAACCCCAAACCATAAATCCCAAACCCCAAACCATAAATCCCAAACCCCCAAACCATAAATCCCAAACCCCAAACCATAAATCCCAAACCCCAAACCATAAATCCCAAACCCCCAAACCATAAATCCCAAACCCCAAACCATAAATCCCAAACCCCAAACCATAAATCCCAAACCCCCAAACCATAAATCCCAAACCCCAAACCATAAATCCCAAACCCCAAACCATAAATCCCAAACCCCCAAACCATAAATCCCAAACCCCAAACCATAAATCCCAAACCCCAAACCATAAATCCCAAACCCCAAACCATAAATCCCAAACCCCAAACCATAAATCCCAAACCCCAAACCATAAATCCCAAACCCCAAACCATAAATCCCAAACCCCAAACCATAAATCCCAAACCCCCAACCATAAATCCCAAACCCCAAACCATAACCCTAAGTTCTAGACCCTGCACCCCTAAACCCGAACTCCTGAACTCCTGAACTCTGCACCCCACGCCCCAAATCCGCGTCGAAAAGCCCAAGGCCGAGGGCGGAACCGTGCTGACTCCAGTGAAGACATGGCTGGCCCCGCCTCCTTTTAAGGGTTTAGGGCTTAGGGTATTTAGGGTTTAGGGTTTAAGGTTTCCCACACTGCAAGGGTTTGGGGGTTCCATGTACAGTAGGGGTTCAGGGGCTCCTTTCAGGGTTCTACAAGGGTTTACGGGCCCGCCTCCCAAGAAAAGGATCGCTTAGGGTTCCTTTTAAGGGCTCCTACACTGTCAGGGTTTGGGGGTTCCTTTTAAGGGCTCCTACACTGTAAGGGTTTGGGGGTTCCTTTTAAGGGCTCCTACACTGCAAGGGTTTGGGGGTTCCTTTTAAGGGCTCCTACACTGCAAGGGTTTGGGGGTTCCTTTTAAGGGCTCCTACACTGTAAGGGTTTGGGGGTTCCTTTTAAGGGCTCCTACACTGTAAGGGTTTGGGGGTTCCTTTTAAGGGCTCCTATACTGCAAGGGCTTGGGGTCCGTTTAAGGGTTCTAGAAGGGTTTAGGGGTCCACCTCCCAAGGAAAGGATCGCTTAGGGCTCCTTCCCAAAACGGCTTGGGGTTCCTTCCAAGTTTAATGCCAAGAAAAGGATCGCTTAGGGAAGTTAAGGGTTTGGGGATAACTTAGGCTTCCTTGAAGGGCTCCTGTAAAGGTTTCGGGTTCCTTCAGGGATGCCTCCCAAGAAAAGGATCGTTTAGGGAAGTCTAAGTTCCCATCAGGATTTTGGGATACTTTAGGTATCTTTGTTGGATGCTCCTTCTTGTGTAGTGTTGGGGTTTAGGTAACGGATACGTGTTTAAGGAACAAGTTACCTTAGTTTAATAGGGATCTACGCTAAGTAGCATCGCTTCTGCATTATGGTAACTTCAAGTCAATTCCTTAACAGGAACCCAGTATAAGGGCTCTGTATGGATACCCCAGGTACCTTAATGGCACTGCAGGAGATTCTTCTAGGGATTCTAGGGGTACGATGAGGGATACCATAAGGGTGCGATTGGAGTACCGTAGGGTTTTCGCGTTGTGGGAGACAGACAGGTCACTGCGAAATCTTCTCCTTCATGAATGCAAACCCCTTAACAAATACATTGCCAAAATCCCTGGGCTTGAACCCTGCCGCAAAACCATGAAATGCTACAGTGCCAACACCTTCAAGCCCGAGTCGAATCCGAATATAGGGGTCGGAATAATTGCCACTATCCTGCCTTAGGGTTCCATACTGTAAGACGACCCAAAAGCCTGCTCGAACGACTGAGGCCCCCATCCTACCTAAAGGACCGGGACCCAGTAACTACGGTTCTCAACAAGGTAACTGTACGTTTAATTACGTATAGCCTTAACTAAGGTACCCATAACCTTACTAATATACGGGTCTAAGTAATTATCAATACTATTTTGTAGGTTCCTTATTAAACTTATAGTATACTGGGCCCAGAAACCCTATTCTAATTATTGAGGCCCCTATACTAAACCCCTATAACAGCTTATAGACCCCTGTAAAGGAATCCTAGGAACCCTATAGGTAATTATTCACGTCCCCCGATCCTCCCAGGTGTCCCTGGCCACCTGCCCAGCAGACCAGTGACTCGGAAGGAGCGCAGCGATCGCAAGGGCCACACCAACCTCCTAGAGACTCCAATATCCCTTAACTAAGGAATATCCGACCCTTAAATCACACTAGGGATCCTACTATAATTTAAGGTATGTTCCTTAATTCAAGGATATTGGAGTCTCTGGGTTCAGTACTGCAAGACCCTGGGCAAGCAAAATGCCCTAAACCCTAAACCCCCGGATAAAGCCTAAGGGCGTTGCAGCTGATTTCAGATGCCGGGTGGAGTCGCAGCTGGGAGTGATTTTGGGGCGGCAGGTTCTCCGAAGTGTATAGGAGCCCTCGTAGCAACCCTTGCGGTTTGCGGTACCCGTTATAAGCATCACCTGCTAGAAACCCTCCTGGTGACGAGCTATGCTCTCTCATCTGACATCCTGGAGCCACAAAGAGAGCCGTCTGCCACGTGAACGGCCCCGTCTGCACGCAAAACAAGCGTCTACACGGTTTAGGGGTTTAGGGTTTAGGGGTTTAGGATTTAGGGTTTAGAAGTTTACGGTTTAGGGTTTAGGGTCTACCCGAGTCTGACTTCGTAGCTTTGCGTTCTGACGCCTTGAGACTAAGGCTTGGGGCTTCAACTTGACACCTACACGGGAGTTTCCGAAAATTAAGGGTACCTTATTTTGGGGGTCCTTAGAGTAAGGATCCGACTATTTAGGGTATTATATTAGGACCCCCTATTTTCGGACCAGGAGCACAGCAAGCCTAGCCTCCTCCCGCACGATCACGTGGACTTACCAAGTACGGACATACCCAGAGGCCCCAAAGTAGTTCCATTTTGGGATTACCCTATAGGATTCTATATACGAACCCCATGCAGGAACTACTTTGGGGCCTTTAGGTAAGTACCTTAGCGGGGCTACAAGTTGTAATTTGAGTTACTTGAGTTAACAAGTCCAGTTACTAAGTCCCATGATCCTTTCAGCAAACTCCCCACTTTCCCAGCCGTTTTGCAGCGCGGGAGCAAATCGGGAAACGGTGTGTTTCTGTGGCGCAGCAGTTTCTGTAAGCATCACCCTTAACCCTTAACACCACCTGCTTTGGGTTTTCTAGTTGGGTTTCTAGTTAGGGTTTAGGACTGAGGCAGCCTTTTCATCGGGCTTATATGGACCTTCTATCGCATCAAAGAAGGGTCTATGTAGGGCTTACAGCCTGCAGCCAGGGCCACCAAAGGCAGCTGCTTTGCAGCGCCGGGTGGTGACAAAACGCCTCTGCCTTTCGGGAAGCGGGAAAGAAGTCCTTGAAACCTGCGGCTCGCTTTCCCAAGGAAGATATTTGGAGAATCAGGGGACTTAGTAAGTAAGGTTATAAGTACCATAATTTGGGGATATAAGTAACTATAAGTATAGTTACCTTATTTATAACCCTAGTTACTAAGTCCCATGATCCTTTAAGTAGGAGCGTCAACGAATGGAATAGGGTTCCTTTGCACGGCTCTGATAGGGGTTTCATGCTTTTGCTGGTGGGGTTTATGGGGGCCTCCAAAAATTGGAACAAGGGTTTGGGATGGATAGAACTCTTTTTCCAGGCCGCTACACTAAGTCGAGAGTGCCAGCACCATTGCCAGTACACCTTGGCTGACTTCTGAACCCCTCCTAAAGGTCAAACGTTTAGCCTACTTACTATAGTTCATATACAACCCATAAACCCTAAACCCCTCAACCCTAAACCCCAAACCCTAAACCCGAAACCCGAAACCCCAAACCATAAACCCTAAACCCTAAAAGTTAAAGTCCTAAGAGCCAAGATGCCGAACTGGGCCGAGCTCACGACCTTCGAGCTCAGGGCCGCGGCATCGCAGGAGGAGGCGAAAGAGCCTTGGCTCTTGGAGGATCAGGGTACTACTTGTAGGATAGGGTTCCTAGGGTTCTTTTAAAGGGGTTTAGGGTTCAGGGGTTTGGGGTTTTGGGGTTTAGGGCTTACTTAGAGGATTAGGGGACTTAGTAAGGGTTCTTAAAGGGCTTTTTAAAGGGATCTATATACAGTTCCTTAAAGGGATCTATAGGGCTTGTTACTGGGAGGATCAGGGGGCTTAGTCAGTAAGGGTTCTTAAAGGGCTCCTTAAAGGGATCTATAGGGTTCCTAAAAGGGATCTTTGGGTTTAGGCTTTAGGGGACTACTTGGAGGATCAGGGGACTTAGTAAGTAAGGTTATAAGTACCCCAATTGGGGCTCTAAGCAATTATAAGTATAGTTACCTTAGTGATAACCCGAATAATATGGTTTCCTTATTCTGGTAACTTAAGTTATATCCCTTAACAAGAGCGTAGGAGCAGCTACTTCCACGGCACTCCGTGATCTCGCAACTGGTGGAGTTACATTCGAGGGTCGTGGTTTCCTTAGACACTTCGAAGCGCAGCGCGGGGTCCGGAAAGCTTTCCTGGACTTTGAAGTAACCAGGGAGCAAAAAGATAGACGTTTATTTCATAGAGGTTCCTTTAAGGAACAGGTACCCAAAAAAATCCTAAACCCTAAACCCTAACCCAGGTTTCGAGGGAGTTCGAGCATTCTACCTGCACCTGCGACACGGCGAACTCATTGCCCCAGCCGCCTTGATGAATCCGGATCATGTTCACCTGGGCTTTGAAGTAACCAAGGGAAAAAGTACAGACCTTCGTTTCATAATGGGCTTTTGAAGTACCCAAGGGAGAAAAGTATACACTTTCATTTCATCATAGGATCCTTTTAAGTATCAGGTCACGACACAGTATTAAAGTATGGTACTCCAAAACCCAGGCACAGAGAGGGGCGCCCCCAGATCCAGAACCATCCACTGGCCGCCCACCTTCGACTCGTCCCAGCAGCTGCAGCTGAGACCTACCTGGGTTCTCGTTAAGCGAGTTGCTCTACTGTAGATCCCCATTACGGTATCTCAAACCTTAAACCCTAAACCTCAAAGGAACCCTTAGAAAGATCCCTTTCAGAAGCCCTTCTAGATCCCTATTCATGGTGACTTGAGCCCAATTCCTTAACAAGAACCCAGCTACGTCGTAGTCGCCCTCCCAGTAGTCCTGCAAGTTGTTGTTCACCTGGGTTGTAGTTTTGGGGCTCTGAAAAGTATTTATGAATAGGTACCTCTGCAGGAACCATAAGGGAAATTAAAAAGTTTCCCAAATTGCCACATAGTCCTCTCTTTCTTGATATTGGGGAACTTTATAAGGAACCTAGGACTACAAAAAGGGAATAAGGGTACTACTGGGCATCCTAGCCCCTAATTTTCGGAAACCCTAAACCCTTTATAGAACCCTTATAGATCCCTTTAAGGAACCCTTATAGATCCCCAAGGGTACTACTGGGCATCCTAGTCACGGCCAAGGACGCCGTTCTCCCTTTCCCGACCCCCGAGTCGGAGACGACGGGAGGATTGATCTTGCTGGTGATCCTTAGTCCATGAAAGGGACCTTAAAGGGATCTGTAGGGTTCCTTAAAGGGATCTATAGGGTTCCTGAAAGGGATCTATAGGGCTCCTTAAAGGGATCTATAGGGTTCCTTAAGGGGATCAAAAGGGTTTAGGGTTTAGGGTACTACTTGGAGGATCAGGGGACTTAGTCCCAGGATCCTTTAAGTAGTCTATAGTACCCCTCCGTTCAAAGCTAAACCCTCAACCGAACCCTAAACCCAAAAAGACATCTTGCTGGTGATCCTTGGTCCATAGCATCGCTCAAAGTAGTAGCCCTTCCGGCGTGCCTTGCAGTATAGCCTTGGAATAACCCGGACAGTAACCACAAAACGAGGCAAGAATCCCTCCGTTCCTCTGGAAGACTTCCACCTCGTAGAGGTCCCAGCTGGACGAACAGCTTCCGTGACTGACACAGCAGGCGCTTGAGACTCGAAGATACTGGTATGCCTGGGTCCGGTATTCGGCTAAGCACACACCCAAAAGCATTACTATGACTTTGAAAGATACTATTCAAAATTTCCCCCTACACCCTAAGCTCCTCCAAAATTCCCCTAACCCCTAAGCTCCTCTGAAATTCCCAAGAGCCCTAAACCCCAAACTCCTCCATAATGGGCCCAGTATGCATTGAAAGGGTTGCAGGCTGCGGCGGTTTCGACCGGAGGAGGACCGTCTCCAGCAGCAAGCTGCAGAATGGCAAGGTGAAGCAGCCTTCTGACATTTTGGGGTATTTGGGCTTAGAGTTTAGAGTTCAGAGTTCAAGGTTTAGGGTTTAGAGTTTAGAGTTTTTTTTTTTAAAGTTTAGAGTTTAGGGTTTAGGGTTTTGGGGGGTCTGAGTCTGGGGTTTCTTGGAGAGTTTGGGGAAGTTTCGGGAGGTAGAACGGCAAGGTGAAGCGGTTTAGGGTTTAGGGTTTAGGGTTTAGGGTTTAGGGTTTAGGGTTTAGGGTTTATTTTGGGGACTGCTATGGTCCCTTTTTGGGTCCCTACTGCAGTACGGCACCAAATATTTCGGGTACCCAAAAAAGGGCCATAATTTTGACAACCACCCAAATAGAAAGTAAGGGTATAAGTACCCGATTTGGGGCTATCAGCAATTATGACTACAGTTACCTTCTGGATTCTGGGGTATTTGGGTTTAGGGCTTAAGGATTCTATAAGGGTTGGGGTATCTTGATTTTAGGGTTCCGGGCTTGGGGTGTAGGGTTTAGGGTGTTGGGCTTTGGGTCATGATACGGTTGATGATATAAATCCTGCATGACTTTAAGGACCCTATATTATGGGAATTATGGTATATTCCTGATTTGGGGTCATGCAGGATTTATATCATCAACAGTATCTCTGAAAAGCTCCTATCAACTCTCGGGCGAGGTGATAGAAGTGCACCCTCTCGTCCCTTCCAGAGACCAAAGACCTGGAGTTCCGTCGTCCCTAACTCCTAAACCCCTACACCGCCAAACTTCGGAATGCCAGATCCTTCTGGTTCTACCCCTGCGAGCTCTTGCAGGGCCGGGCAGCAGCACAGCCGGCAGCAGGCAGGAGCAGGTGTCGAGAGCACAGAGGTTCAGGGTTTTAGGGCTTAGGGTTGAACCAAAAAACTGCTACGTAAGCATGAAAGTGCTTTCGCAGAGACTAGTACCGCTTAGTTAGGGAACGGAGTTGAAAAGAGAATAGTGAGAGCACTAGGTCGCTAGCAGAATTCAGGTAGATTCCTCAATTCAAGAGCGCACTCCGGGTATTCGACTTGGAAAATGATAGAGCCCGGTCCTGGGGGCGAGTCCGTGGGAAACTTAACGAGGCTTCATACTGTTGATGATATAAATCCTGCATTACCTTAATGGCCCTGAAGTATGGGAATATTATGGTGGCCTATTTGGTATATTCCTTATTATGGGTCATGCAGGATTTATATCATCAACCGTATGATCTCAGGCATATTCCTCAACTTGAGGACCCCTGAAACACCCTTGCAAAAACCCTATAAACCGCTTGTAAAAGCTTTTCGGCATATTACGTAAAAAGAGGTATTGGGCTCCAGGTCGCGCCTCTGGCGATAGGGATGCAGCTTTGCGCAACACTGACACTGAGATGATTAGAACAAGGAAATAGCACTACCACAAATAGAAGAAGGAAGGCTAAGGAATCGTATTAGTACTTGTTTAGGCTTGCATCTGCCACCTTCCAAGCGGCATGGCTGCACTGCTTCGGTGTGGTCCGGAATCGCAGGCGGCTGCCTAGAATCACGCTAGTGCCTGGCATGCATCCGTATGTGTCCCAAGCTGGCATGTGCTGTACATCTGCTCATCTGGGTTGTAGTTTCGGGGCCCTTAAAGGTATTTCTTAACAGGTACCTCTATAGCAACCATAGAAAGCTTCCCAAAGTGCCACCAAGTCATGTTAGTCTCCACATGTGGGAGCCGAACGGCAGGCATTTCAGGCTCCGGAAGTGCAGTGAACCGAGCAAGGCGCACGGCCAGGACCAAAGGACGATGCGTTTTTCCTTGTGTGATGCTCATGTAGGAACCTGATGGAGAAACCCGGTGCCTATAACCCCAAAATAATAGGATTCATACAAAGAACCCTAATAAGGGCCCAAGGTTTCTTCATCAGGTTCCTACATTACTCTGGGCAGTCCGCTTCGGGACCGCTGCTATCTGGGTGCTTGTCAAAATTAGGATCCCTTTTTGGGTCCCTAATATAGTACGGCACCGAATATTTAGGGTACCAAAAAAGGGACCCTAATTTTGACAACTACCCGTATACATCCATCTTGGGGTCCTTATAATCAGGATCCTACTATTTAGGGTGCCCAAAAAAGGGACCACAATTTTGACAACCACCCATCTAGAGCTGCGACCCCTTCGGCACATCTTTGGCACTCTGCTCTGGGGTCCTAGAAATTGCCCAGAGACTCCAATGTCCCTTAAGGAAGGGAATACCGAGGGTTCCTTAAAGGGATCGAAAAAAGGGTTCTAGCAGGGAATGGAATGAACCTTCAAGTATAGTAGTAGGATCCCTGATATGTTTTGACATGTATTCCTTAATTAAGGGATATTGGAGTCTCTGAGTTGCCTGATCTTCAGGCAATGCGAACTCTGGGACGGGCCTTGTCATCTTTGTGAGTCAGCTCTCAGCCAGATCTGCTTCGTAGGCTCAGGTATCCTGGAGATTTCAGAGGAGGCAAAAATCCCGTAAAAATGATTTACGCCTAAAGGTACATTATGAGGGTTGCTTGGGGTCGCCCCTGTATCAAAAAACATCCCCTCACTTGGTGGGGATCCTTCATATGGGAGCTTCCGAAAATTAAGGGACCCTAGCATCGTAGCCAAAATATAGTAGGATCCTTATCATAAGGACACCAAAGTAAGGCACCCCCAATAATCGGAAACCCCCATACGGCGGGTTTTGGGAGTCTCTGGTAGGTTTCTTTTAGCCATCGACGCTCATGCCCTCAGCTCTGGCATTGCAACCCCCAAGCAAGAATTGAACCCCCTTATATAGGGACCTTAATAATTAGAATAGGGAGGGGTCTATGAGGGTTACTATTAGGGATCTACAAGGGTACTATAGTTTAGGGACCTTTATAATTAGAACGGGGTTTTGGGGCCCATTATGCTATAGTTATAATAAGGTACCCCGACAATATGTTGGTAGTTACGTAGGCCCCTATAGAGACCCAAAACTCTGAGCCCTGAACCCTCAACCCCCAACCCCACTAACCCCACGCCCCACGCTCCAAATTTTTGAAGCCTAGTTCCCAAACCGCACCCGGATCCCCAACTCCCGACCTAAACCCTAAACCCTGAAACCCTGAACCCGAAAACCTCCGGAACCAGCCGGTCCTCTCCGATGCGGGCTTGTCCGCCAGCTCTTAGAAGACGCCCAGAGACTCCAATATCCCTTAATTAAGGAATATACTTTAAATTATGGTAGGATCCCTAATATGATGTAAGGGATATTCCTTAATTCAGGGATATTGGAGTCTCTAGATGGTATAAAGGCCTACTCTCCAAAGATTTTAGAAGTACCATACAAATCTAGAGTACCCTATGAACCCATGCTAAAGCAGCAGTCTGTCTGCCTATAAACAATGATTTGCTGAAAACACACCCTTTGCCATTGACGCTGATAGAGTCCTAAAGCCTAAGGCATGCCTCCACCCTATGTAACCTGATTTTTGAGGGCTCCGTACTATGATTTCCGTATATAACCTAGTTCATGCTTGCGATAACATTGGAGATGTAAAAATTTTATACCCAGAAACACATAAAATCTTACCCGGCTTCTCTTCGGGCTTGCTCGTTGGGACCAATGTTCACTAAGAACAGATTTCTTGGGGGGGTTGGGAGAGGGGGGCAAGCATTTCTGTGAACTATGAGAAAGAAAGCGAACCTTATTCTACACATTAGCAGCCCTTATGGTAACCTTTATAGAGCCTTGCTAAGTTCGTTAGTTTCAAGGCAAACCCTAAACCCCTAAACCCCTAAAACCCTAAAAGCCTAAAAGCCCAAAACCCCTAAAACCCCTAAAACCCTTAAACCCTAAAACCCTGAAACCCTAAAACCCTAAAACCCTAAAACCCTAAAACTCTAAAACCCTGAAGCCTAAACCTTAAAGCCCCAGCTCAACACTCCCGGGCCTCCCCTCGCTCTTTGTGCAACCTTGCGCGTAGCTCGTCCATGTCGACGTGCTCCAGACCGGACCTGAACCGTAACGCAAGGGCCTTAATAACTCCCCAGAGACTCCTTAAAGGGATCTACAAGGGTTCCTTAAAGGGTTCTATAATGGATCTATAAGGGTTTAGGGTCTACTTAACCCAGAGACTCCAATACCCATTAATTAAGGAACATACCTTAAATTATAGTAGGATCCCGAATATATGAGTTAAGGGATATTCCTTAATTAAGGGATATTGGAGTCTCTAGATCCCTGATGCTTACTAGGGAATGGGGGAATGGATCCGTATGATAGTCCCTGAAGGGTCCCTTATAGTAGTCTCTATAACCCATTCCCCCATTCCCGACTAAGAACCAGAGAGATAACTAGAATAGGGGTTCCTTTAGAGGGGGTCTATAAGGGTTACTATAAGGGATCTATAGGGGTACTCTAATGTAGGGGCCTTAATAATTAGGATACGGTTTTGGGGTGTAGTCTAAGTAGACTCGGAGCCCCAAGACGGTATTGGCAATTATCTACGCCCCTGCATTAAACCCCAGAAAGTCGGAACATGGATTTAGGATGATTAGTGCTAGGATTCCCCATACTTTACCTGAAGGGCATGAGGAGAATGATGCTCCAACTTTCTGGCTTCTAGCGTAGGCCTTTTGGGAAGCATCGCTGCTTTGCCGATCCGAAAAGGCCCTGTGAACCCCTTACTCCGAAACCCTAAACCCTAAACCCTAAACCCTAAACCCCTAAACCCTAAACCCTAATCCCTAAACCCCTAAACCCTAAACCCTAAACCCTAAACCCTAAACCCTAAACCCTCTAACCCCAAACCCCCAGGAGGGACCCCTTGGCCATCTCCAGCAGCTGCTCCACGCCGTTCAACATCTCAGCCTGTCGCGGCTTTCACAGCGCAAAGAGAAGGGCCTCCACTCTCGCTTTTAGGGTTTAGGGTTTAGGGGTTTAGGGTTTAGGGTTTAGGGTTTAGGGGTTAGGGTTTAGGGTTTAGGATTTAGGGGTTTAGGATTTAGGGTTTAGGGGTTTAGGGTTTAGGGTTTCGGGTTTTAAGGTTTAGGGGTTTAGGGTTTAGGGGTTTAGGGTTTAGGGTTTCGGGTTTCGGGTTTTAAGGTTTAGGGGTTTAGGGTTTAGGGTTTATGAGTCATGAGTTCCTTTCAGGCTTGCTGTCAGGGAAACACCTTCAAGGCTTAGTATAGAAACCAATATACAAAAAGAAGACGGTTTTTGGGGCAGGTATACTGAAAATAGAACCAGGAGCCCCGAAAAATCGCGCTGAGGGTTTAGGTTAGGGTTTTGGGGTTTTTCGGGTTGAGACATTCAGTACCCGCCTCTGTGACGTCGTCGCTTCCGTCGGCATCCAAGACGTCAAAGAGATCTTCAATGACGTCACAGTCCAGGCCCAGCGACTCGAGCTTAGCCTATACGGTTTAGGGGTTTAGAGTGTAGGGGTTTAGGATTTAGGGTTTCGGGTTTTAAGGTTTAGGGGTTTAGGGTTTAGGGTTTAAGGGTTTAGGGTTTAGGGTTTAAGGGTTTAGGGTTTTAAGGTTTAGGGTCTGGGGCTTTCTTGAAGTTGATGTGTGCCCGTTCCTCTCGCTCCCGGTGGGTTTTCGGCCTTTTGGTTTAGGGTTTTGGCCAGGAGCTTTAGGGCTTTAGGCTGTTGGGGTTTCAGCGTTTTGGGGGGTTTAGGGCTCTAAATGCAGTAACTATGCTCATCATTGCTTATGACCCCAAGGGAGGTACTGATAGCCTTACTTACTAAGTACCCTGATCCTCCAAGGAGCACCGAGAGCCTGAACCCTAGAACCCTTTTGAGCCCTTGTAGATCCCACTAGGGGACTCTTAACTGAGTCTCTACTCAGTCCCGTTCAGGGATTCGGGGAAGCTCATCGGCACTGAGAAGTCCGTGAGGTCATTTAATAGAGAGTCATACTTAGAATAAAGGCTATGATAAGGGATCTAGAAGGGTACTGTAAGCAAGGGAATGGGGGAACGGGCTATGGGGGCTATTATTGGGGATTATACGGGTGGTTGTCAAAACTATGGTCCCTTCCTGGGGTACCCGAAATCTTAGGTGCCGTATTATGATAGGGACCCAAAAAGGGGACCATAATTTTGACAGCCACCCATATAGGGACTACTATAGGGATCCATTCCCTACTCAGAACACCAGGCAGCCTTGAATCTCTACTGGGGTTTAGGACTCTGCCTCGGGGGTGGTAGTGATTTGGCCTTAGTGTGTAGGCTTTAGTGCCTAGGGTGTTTTTTTGAGCTCCTTTTCTGCATCGCCCGAAAGGTCTGCAGGGTTTAAGCTTTAGGGTCTAGGCTTGAAGGCTTTGACTTTAGGGCTTAGGGTTTAGGGTTTGGCTTTAGGGCCCTAGTGAGTGCAAGCCCATCAAACATGGGCCGAGGCATCCCACATCCCGGCCTTTGTGCTTGGAGACTGCAGCGACACGTGGAATTCCTCAAGGAGGAGATTTGCAGAAGTGTGGAACCCTAAACCCTAAACCCTAAGCCCTAAGCCGGAATTCCTCAAGGAGGAGATTTGCAGAAGTGGGGGGGGGCATGGGTCAACCCTCAAGGACGGCGGCTGTCAACAATGGTGCTGGGTGAAGGGCTCAGGGTTTAGGGGTTTAGGGCTTAGGTCTAGGGGGTTTAGGGGTTGAGGGGTTTAGGGGGTTTAGGGCTTTCTAGGGGGTTTAGGGGTTGAGGGGTTTAGGGTTTAGGGGGTTTAGGGTGCTGGGAAAATGTTCGCAACACTTCGACCGCAGTGGCACTACAATGGACAGTTTTGACATGGGTGGCTGTCAAAGTTATGGTCCCTTTTTGGGTCCCCTAAATAATAGGTGCCGTTAGGGACCCAAAAAGGGACCATAATTTTGACCACCCACATGGAGCTCGCGCCTCCCGGCTGAGGGTCCCCATCTGGTCCGTGTCTGCCTCAAGGGGACGGGTGGTTTAGCAGTTCAGGGAATCCATCGCAGCAGCAAAACCCTAGTCTGGTATAGTATAATATGGTAACAGCGCCTGGTACGTGACCGGCGTTTTGTGGCGTAGCTGAAACAGGCAATGTGCTAAAACCTTGGGAAAACGTGTATCATGACTTAAAAGTTGTGCTAGGAAAGGCGGAGAATCCCTGTGACAGGTCGATCGTTTTAGCGAAAAAGGTGATGGCGCTGCAGTAAAAGCCACTTTTGCGAGCACCGCGCTGCGCAAACTTGGTCTGAGTGGACGTTAATATGGTTGACCCGTGGATGCTCTGCGTCAATGAGATCTGGTCTGAGTGGACGTTAACATGGTTGACCTATGGATGCTCTGCGTCAATAACATGGACCACCCATGGATGGTTTGGGCGACGTGGGTTGTAGCAAGTGCCGAACACACCGGAATTACCGGTGTGTTCGGCATATTGACCCTAAGGGGACATGGCTTCGATCAGAACTAGAGCTTGTGCCTGCCTGCGACAAAAGTCCGCAGTTCTGGGACTTAAGGGTCGGGACTGGCCAAAATTAGCCCCCCCCCCCACCCCCCCCCACCCCAGAAAAGTGAGAGGACGCACAGGACGCACACCAGGCGTTGTCACCTATAATATAATACAGCATACTGTAATATATAGCACAGCATTACATAGCAGAGTATAGTAAATAGTCGCAGGCTAACCGTCAAGACATGTAGGGTTTGGGATTTAAAGTTCAGAAACAAAAAACCTGACTCTCAGCAAAATTTGACAGGAAAAAGCAGGAAGACTCAGACCGGCAAAGCTGATCAGCACGACGAAGCCAATAATTTTGTGACGACCCCCTAAGGAAAAAGCCAGAAAGTTGGAATATGATTATCCTAACCCTTCTATGGTAAGTTATAGTGTATCCTACCATGAAACCATATTCCAACTTTCTGGAGTTCCCTGTAACCCCTGATCTCTGATAGATTTACAAGAACCCTTAAATTTACATGGAACCCTCAAAGGAGCCCCAAGACCCTAAATGCGAAACCCTAAACCCTAACCCTAAACCCTGAGCCCTAAACCCTATTCAAGGAGAACCCCTAAACCCTAAACCTTGATAGAATTTACAAGAATCCTTAAATCGAACCCTCAAATTAGCCCTTAACTCTGAACCCTAAACCCTAAGCCCTTAACAGCCACCTGCTCAAAGATCTGCTTAATGAGGATCCTCCAGCGCGGCACCGGCTTGGGCTTCCGGAGGCCTCTGGGAAGAGCTCTTTTCTTTTGCACGGCTTTGTCGACTTGGAGGGCAAGGGACTTAGTAAGTCGTTTATTATATTACTGTAAGTAGGGTTATAATTGGGGTAACTCGATTTAAATTACTTATAACTCTGCCTATAATCTACTTACTAAGTCCCCCGCCCCTCCAAGTAGGGTTTAGGGTTTAGGGTTTAAGGCTCTTTTCTTGCTTGGGTGGCGTGCCTTATAAGGTTGGGGGGCTTCATAATTGGAATCGGGTTTTGGGGTGTGTTAGAATCATGCTCATGCTTCATATTCTTTGAGGTTCATGAACCTTTTGCTGCGAGGGTGGTGATATTGGGGCCTGAGTATTCCGAACAGAAAGGGTTCTTATAAAAATGGTCTATAAGGGTTACAATACGGGCTATTGTAAGGGTGTAGTATAGGGGCCCGAATAATTCGAAACTGTAATTATACAAAGAACCCCAAGGAACAATGTTGATATTCAGTCAAGCGTTCAGGGTTTAGGATTTCTGTCCTTGCTGGAGTGGCAGGTTTTGTAAAGTTTAGGGTTTCGGGTTTAAGGCACTGTTTCTGTTTTGGGTAGGGTTTAAAGTTATTTTCTTGCTGGTGGTGTGGGTTTTGTGAGGTTTAGGGCTTGTTTAAGGCCTTTTCTTGCTGGCGTGGGTGGCTAGGCTGTTGAGCAGTTTTCTTGGAGCTATTAACCTTTTAGCGCTGTTGTAGGGGCTAATCTGAGGTCATTATCAGGCTACATGCTCTGTAGGGCTTCACTAGAGGTTGATGAAAGGCCCGCTTTTGAGTCGTTGGGTTTTCAGCGCTGGTAACCTAGGGTTTGGATGGGATTGGGTTTCGGATTTTGTTTGACATTCAAGGTTTCGGACTCTGTAGCAGGGATACATGGTAAACAATGTGCTTTCCTGAGCCCTAAACCCCCAAACGTTTCTTACGGCAACTTAAGCAAAGTACCTTCAAAGAGCCCTGCAATCTGTTGACTTCGGTGCTTAACTTTGTTGGGTTGCGGGCCTTGTGGGTTCAAGGCTTTGGGATTTATTTAAAGTTCAGGGCTTTAGGCTTCTAGGGTTTACTGTAGTGTTTAGAGCTTTAGGTGGGGGGACCATGAGAAGAACCACCCTGCCAGCACTTGCAATAAACACAGTGACTGACTCTAGGGAGCTGCCCCATCGTCATTGAGCCAACACTCATCATTACAGCATTGAAGAAATCGAAGGATCAGATGGTAGTTCGAATAATGGCACGACTGATGGACATGATCCTGCACTACCCGTGATAAGGAGTATAATGCGATTGCCACAGTTCAGAGAGTACTTCAGGGTTATGCAGCATTTTGCCCATGAAACCCTGAACCCTGAACCCTGATGGTGCTATAGGAATTCCTCTTAGAGTAAGTCACCATAAGGCAGAATACATCTAGATTTAGATGTGTATGTATGTACGTATGTATATCCGTATATCTATATCTATATCTATATATATATATATATGTATGTATCTAAACGCATGCATAAATACATACATGCATAGGCACATGTATACCTTTAGTATGTATATAACGATATATATATATATATATATATAAATATATATATATATATACAGATATGGATATTTGCAGATGCATGTAAAAACAAACACACCCACGCACAAAGCCCTGAGGTACAGACGCAAGACCTTTTGGGTGAAGTCGCTGGCGCCTCTGATGCAACGGTCTCTTGAAGTGATCGCTACTTCCACGGGCAGCCACGGCTGGTCTACTCTCAAAGTAGCAGCAAGCAGAGGAGTATCGACTCATGCCAAGTCTTGCTTTAGTACGGGCTAACTTTTGGCAGTTGCTGCCATCCTTGCCCACGCACAGTATATGATGTACTATAAACCCCCTTTGAGGGATCTGAGCTAAGCCCTAAACCCTAAACCTCAATCCTTGAACCTTACACCCTAATCCCCAAACCCTGAAGCCCTGTTAAGGCATCTCCTGATCTCTGATCTGCCCTGGCGCTACGCAGTGTCTCATCCTGGCGCATCGACTTGATCGTTCCCATGAAGTTCCTCTTGGCCTGGTAGAGGGTTCCTTTAGGGATCCACTTAAAGGATCACGGGACTTAGTAACTAGGGTTATACATAAGGTAACTATACCTACAACCCCAATTAGGGTACTTATAACCTTACTTCCTCAGTCCCCTGATCCTTTGAGTATAAGGGTTCCTTAAGTGATCGATAAGGGTTTCAGGCTTCAGGCTCGGGGTTGAGGGTGTAGGGCCGTCAGATGCGTCGCAGACAGGAAGTGGGACCCTAAACCCTAAACCCTAAACCCCTAAACCCCTAAACCCCTAAACCCTAAACCCTAAACCCCAAAACCCCTAAACCCCTAAACCCTGAGCTTCAGAAAACTGGAGACCCGAATATGAGGCCGACAAGATCGGAGACGCAGTCGACAGGCACCGAAATGCTTAAAGGATCAGGGGACTTAGTAAGGGTTCCGAAAGGGCTCCTCAAAGGGATCTACAGGGTTCCTTAAAAGGATCTATAGGGTTTAGGGTTTAGGGTCTACTTGCAGGATCAGGGGTCTTAGTGAGTAAGGTTATAAGTACCATAGTTGGGGGGTATAAGAAATTACAAGTATAGTTGCCTTACTTGTAACCCTAGTTACTAAGTCCCATGATCATTTAAGTAAGGCACCCCCCGTGGTCCCATATTCTGAGACCCTCAAACCTCGACTGCATGGTTTCACTCCTCCGAACTGCAAAGCTACTCAGCGTCGGGTGGAGAAAGCAGACAGTAATATGGAAGCTTGAATAGACTCTTTATTACTTGGAGTTCCTTACTATATTATACATTTTACCCTATTCTAATTACTAAGGTCCTTCTCGTATTTCGTTCAGACCTCTCAACCCAACGATGCGCAATTGTGCCTCGAGCACGTCCGCCTGCGATGATGCTTCATCGAACCTTATCAGCTGAAACCCTGCAAAGGCATGCAAAGGGACTCCTAAGCACCACTCCATGCTCCTGGCAAATCTCTGCTGTCCTTGATGGGACCCTCCAGCAGTTCATGTGAGGTGGAAACATGCAAAGAATCCATTTCCCCCGGTTCCCCAGACCTTCCAAAATCCCTTAGTTAGGAATATTCCTTAAACCACAGTCGGACCCCTCATGTGATTTAAAGATATTTAAAGTACACTCCATAATCAAGGAGTTTTGGAGTCTCCCCACGGTTCCAGCCGGGTAGCATTTGCTGAAGGGCGGCTTCCAGCTTGTCACAGTTACGTGTCCCCTTCGGCACCTCGCAAAATGCAGATCAGATACTGTAGGGGCCTGAATAGTTAGAATAGGGTTTTGGGCCCCATTATGCTGTCATTATAATAAGGAACCCTCAAAACAGTACGAGGCAGACGCCAGAAGCCAGACGGAGACTGACACAAATAATCGCAACCTACAAACCACAGTGAAGTGACGAAGGAAAGGAAGGCGCCTAAAAACTGCTCAAGCAGAACCTGCTGCAACACAGTGAATCGTAGTGCATAGACTTTTGCTTTAAAGTGCAGAGTTTGTCGTTCGTTTAAAACAAAAAACTGCATCGGCACTGCATCGTTTCTTCTTAAAAAGGCTATGCACCACAGTCTCTGCTTCCTTGTTCTGGCCCTCATCCGGTTGCCTCGAAGGTTTCAATGACAACCGCGATGAGATCCTTCATGTCCACCCCGACCTGTGCCGTTCGGGATTAGGGTCGTTGAGGGTTTAGGGGTTTAGGGGTTTAGGGGTTTAGGGGTTTAGGGTTGAGGGTTAAGGGGTTTAGGGTTTAGGGGTTTAGGGTTGAGAGTTCAGGGTTCAGTGTCAAGCGGAGCGGGCTTCCAGTGGAAGATTCTGAAAGCTGCCCTAAACCCCCCCAATCCCCACAGTGACAACACCCTAAACACTCACCATCAGAGCGCTCGTGCCACGGACTGCAGCGGACGCGAATTCAATAACGAGCCCGAACCCAAACCCAACATCCTAATGCTCAAACTCCTAAACCTCAACCACAGACCCGGAACATCAACCCCAAACCCCCGTACTCTGTGCACCCGGCTCGCAGGAGCTTCCGTTGCGTCGTGGACTTGCTCAGGAATTCGATGAGCATCACGGCCGTGAACTGCGGAGGTTGACACTTCTCCGATCTGTCTACTGTATACCTGTGTACTTGTACATACATACATACACACATACATACATACATACATACGTACATACATACATTACAACACGCTACATCACATTGCATTACTTACATACAGAGGGCATGCGTGCGAATACCTGTCAATCTACCTATCAACCTACCCACCTACCTGTGTCTGTCTTACTGTGTGTCTGCCTGTCTGCCTGCCTGTCTGCCTGCCTGCCTGCCTGGCTGTCTGTCTGTCTGTCCATCCGTCTCTCGTTCATACTTCCGCTTGTGCTTCCTTGTACACATATCAAGGCCCGTTCGTTCACAGCGCTGCAGATGCGTCTATAAGTATCTACGAGCATATCTGCCGACCAGAAGACAGTACAATCACTCACATAATTCCATGCACATGACTCTACAAGCAGGAAGTGAGAAGGTCTGGGCAACGAGCGTGCCCAGACCCTTCTTCGTTGGCCAGCTCCTGTGCCGCGAGGTCACTTGAGGGTTTCAGTCGACGTCACCCACAACGATACCTGCAGGGTGGGGGGGGGGGTTTTCAAGATTAGGATCTCGATATTTTGGATCAATACTACCGGCCCTAGTTCCCTAAACCACAACCCTAAACCAAACCCTGAACCCTGATTATTTTGAAGTCCCACATGCAGAAGCTCCTTGCGCAGGAATGCACGTACCCGTGGCTCGTTTTGCTCTACCTGGCATGGGTTTCAAGGTTTCAGAGTTTAGGTTTTAGGGTTTGGGGTTTGGGTTTCAGGGCTTGGGACTTGGGGCTTGGGGTGTAGGCGCTGGGGCTGTGGGTTTAGGAGTTAGGACGCTTAGGGTTTCCGGCTGGATCACGCCAATACCGATTCCGACGAAGTTGAAACAACAACGCGAAAGCAGAGCTGTGAATGGATGGATCCTTGAGCACCCAGGAAGGTCTCCCGAGGGATCCATAGGGAAAGGGATCATAGGGAAGTCAGGAAGGTAACTACTACGTCCCCAGACCCTCCAAGTAGACCCTAAACCCTAAACCCTATAGATCCCCTTTAAGGAACCCTATATAGATCCCTTTAAGGAGCCCCTTAAAGGAACCCTATACATCCCTTAAAGGAAGAACAGAACGGCCTTCAGTAGTGCACCGAGGCCGTGGAGCACCTGCCATCATACACTGCTCTCTGGGAGCTGCGCTAAGAACCCAGCAGAGACTCCAGGGGTTCCTAGGGGTTCCTTTAAAGGGATCTATAAGGGCTCCTTTAAGGGGTAGTACAAGGGATCTCTATAGGGTTTAGGGTTTAGGGGACTCCAATATCCCTTGATTAAGGAATATTCCTTAAATCATATTAGGGATCCGCTATATTTTTGTTTATATTTCTTAATTAAGGGACATTGGGGTCTCTGGGAATCACTCTGACCAACGTCCACTGCTGGAAACACTCAGCCCTTAAACCCTAAACCAACTAACCCAATCTCCGCAATCAACAAGACCCTCAACCCTAAGCCTCGTTGAAGTTCAGCTCACCGCTGCCATCCTCATCCAGCCTGAAGATGGGGAGGCTGTTAGTCGCCTTTCTTCGGGTGTAGGGTTCAGGTCTCAGCCAAGGAGTGCGAGTCCTACTTAGGAACTATGTTCGGGTCCCGCATTTTGCCAAGCTCCCTCTGCGCCTGGTCATGTTCTGATGCAAGTCGTTCAAAGAGCCGAAACCCCAAAATCCTAAACCAGCATCCCGGTGTCGAGGCCAAAAAAGTCCTTAAAGCCGGCTCGTTGCTGCCCAGGAGCATGCCAAAGACCTCCGGACATGAATCAAGGGGTGTTGTCAAACACAGCTAAGGTTGCTTTAACGTAGGGTTTCGGCTTGAGGGTCTACCAAGGGATTTAGTAAGTTCAGGATATAAGTGCCTTAGCTGTTGTGTTAAGAAATTGTAGCTACAGCTACATGTTTAGTCAAAGGTATACGCCTGATGAATATGCCCCCTCAGAATGGGGCCGTGGAAGAACGGGGTGTTATTCATCACAAGAGTCTCTGTTCATCTGCACTCCGGAGCCCTACACATATGGCACCGGGTACGGTATTTTGGCGGTCCTTATAACTTATAACAAGGATCCTTCTGTCTAGGGTACCATATTAGGGTCCCTTATTTTCGGAAACTCCCCACATGCCTCAATTAAACAATACCTAGGGTTCCTTTAAGAGATCTATAGGAATGCTGGTCAGGGATTTATAAGGGATGTATCGGGTTTAGGGTCCCCCTATTTTCGGAAACTCCACTTTGCATCCCCAACTCACAGGGCTAGAGAAAGCTTCGGAATCTTCGCGAGATGCAGGGTTTAGGGCTTAGGGTTTTTAGGGTGTCGGGTTTAGGCTAGAGTGGTGCAAGAGCGAAAATGTCCTGCGACTGTATTCTCGAGTGCGTCGTCATATGACGATTGGCCCGTTGGAGCCTGATTGTGGATTGCTCTTTCTTTTATCTCTCCCACACCACGCCGTCTACAGCGGCCAAACCACCCAAACTTATTCCTCTTAGGGACTAGCACTAAACTTGCAGCAGGCAGGGTGGGCAGGGCGATGCCGGGGGCGGGGTGGTGTGGGGGGGCCGGGCAGGGCGGGGGGCGCGGCGGGGCACGGCGGGGCGGGGCAGGGCGGGGAAAACGTGTGACATGTGAATGTATCATGGGACCGACCACGACGAAGCTGGTATCAGAACATGATGTTGAAAATGCAGAGGCGTGTCCCTGCAATGTATGACAAGTTGTGTAAGGGCATCTACTCGTGGAGATCAAACCGAACTGGGGCATGACACACGCGAACGCGCCAACAACGACTCCCCAGAAGCTCCTCGCCTGCAGGTTGCGAGGCACCTTTTCAATCAAAGCTTGTTGCGGAGTCACTTCCAACCTGCCATATACTATACACACACTACACGAAGACTGCCAAAGACCGAACAGAAAAAACCAGAAAAGCACCAGGCAGGCATAAGGAATGCCATCTTCGCGCCAGTACGACTCGATGGCCTTGAGGAAAGCTGTTCTCTGCCACAACAAAAACACAACCAGCACCCACAAAGTCGTCGCAACAAATCAAAAAGGATGTAGAGTGGCAAACTGCAACACAAACTGGAGAAGTTGTGCGGGAAGACGGCCGGGAAAGTAGCAAACAGCGGCATCGCGCGAAGCCGAAACCATAGACCCTGAAATGGGTGTTAGGCAGTTGCGCAAGTTGAAACCCAAACACTGCAAGAAATGGCACATGCCAAACCTGGCGGTGGAGAGGCGGCCAAGCGTATTAGGTCGCTCTGCGCCATCGAGGTGGTCGAGGGGTTTAAGCGCCGCCCAGCCACGGAAGTGGGGGGCCTAAGCCTACAGTTTAGGGTTCAGAGTTTCGGATTTAGGGTTTGGGGTTTAGGGGACGACCAGAATCTCTCTCGAGTCTGAAGATCACCAATTGAGCCCCTAAACCCCCAGCCCTAAACCCGAAAAGCCTAAACCCGTTTAGAACCCTTAACAAGACCCTCTAAGATTTAAAACTCTTGCAAGCCCCTCCCAGAGTCTATTGAACTCCTAGGCACCTCAACCGCCACCTTCGGGACCCTAAACCCTAAAACCTTAACCTAAAGCCCCACACAGTAAGCCCCTATTCCTCAAAAGCCCAAACTAGCACACGCTAAACCCTTCAACCTCTGAATCCGTAGGCCCTAAACCTCAATCCCTAAACCCCTGTAGAGCCTCCAAAGGAACCCTGAACGGAGCCCTGACAGGAACCCTTGGGAGAGCCCTTAAAGCGTGACCTTCAGGATCTCGTCGATCTTGAAGTCTTTGCCCATCAGTAGCTCGCGAGTCCGACCGTCCTAGGTTTGTCGGGCAGGGCTTCGGAGGTAGAGTTTGGGTTTTCTTTTTTTCGAGGGCTTTCGGATTTAGTTTAAGATTTAAGGGGTAGAGCCGTAGAGCTTAGCATGTCTATTTCGGTGCTTAGGGCTGGAGCTTGGGATGTCTCTGTTTGGGGCTCAGGCTTTAGGGTGTGCCTTCAGGACTTTCTGGGGTTTACCACGAAGGTTTCGGATTCCGAGTTTCGGGTGCAGGGCCAGCCTGCGTCTGACCTTCTCCACTTAAAGGGTCATGGGACTTAGTAACTAGGGTTCCTTAAAGGGGTCTATCGGGTTAAGGGTTTAGGGTCTACTTAAAGGATCATGGGACGTAGTAACTAGGGTTATAAGAGAGGGACATATACTAGGATACCCAGTAACCTAAGAATAAAAAGGCCTCTCTTTTTGGTATTGGGTAACTTTATAAGGAACCTAGGACCACAAAAAGGGAATAAGGGTACTACCGGGCATCCTAGTATACTTATAATCACAAGCACCGCAAGAATCCTAGCGCTGAGGCCCCTTGCGCGCAGTGCTCGAGAGAACTCTCGGACCGTGAGGGCATTGCTATTGTCCTGCTGCACTTCACAAGCAAATTAACAAGCGTCCTGACCCTAAACCCGAAGCCCTGAACCCTAAACCCTACTTGGAGGGGCAGGGGATTTAGTAAGTAGGTTAGAAGTAAAGGTATAAGTACCCTAAATGGAGTTACCCCCGATTATAACCCTACTTATAAACGACTTACTAAGTCCCCTGCCCCTGCAGGTAGACCCCTAAAAGAAACTCCTGAAAGTTGGAATATGGATTAATGGTAGGATCCCAGGCAATTTACCTTAAAGGGGTTACGATAATGATATTCCAACTTTCTGGCTTCTACTGTAAACCGTTGTGGCAATTTTGTTTGCACTCAACCTGCGTGTCCTCGTCCGCTTCTTCGAAAACTTCCTTGCACACCTGTGACAAAAATCAGAGCCGGCTTCGGGGCTTGGGGTTTAGGGGGTAGGATTATGGGCTTAGGATTTGGGGTTTAGGATTTAGAGTTCAGGGCCTAGGGTTCAGGGTCGAGGCTACAGCAGAGCGAGGCTTTTGTCTCCCCCCGCTCTCTGTTCCACTGGGAACTTCAGAGAATGATGCAGGACGCCAGGAGTTTCCTAAAATAAGGGGTACCTTCTTATGGGGTCCTTATGATAAGGATCCTACTATTTAGGGTACTACATTAGGGAATATCAGGGGATACGGATTGGAAGGGCCACCGTCACTATGAAGGAGCCATATATCTGAGGGACCACCGTACAACGGACCCCTCTTGATTTCCTCCATCCACACGACTTAGCCAACTTGATGAAATCTTTCACGACTCCGACATAGAGTCTGGAAACCCTGAACCCAAGAAACCCAGGAAACAGTCAACCTGAGAATCTCTGGAAACCCTATCTGGAGGGGCAGGGGACTTAGTAAGTAGGTTGTAAGTAGAGTTAGAAGTCCCAAAATGGAGTTACCCCAATTATAACCCTACTTATAACCTACTTACTAGTCCCCTGCCCCTCCAAGTACACACTGGCAACCTTAAACATGGGGCCTCGAACCCTGAACCCCGAAGCCTTGAACACTACAGAGTCTTTCCAAAACCCTTCCGCCAACCCTTCATCCTCAGAACCCCCAAACCCTAAACCCTAAAACCCTACAGCCCGAAACCCAAACCCTCAAAAGAAGCCATTTTTTGAAGGAGCCCTTCAAGAAGCCATCAAAAGCATCCTTAAACAAAGGAACCTTCCCTTACAGGAGGTCTTAAAGGAACCCCTGGGGACCCCTACAAGGAACCTTTAGAGGAACCCTTTAAACGCAGGAGCCTTCCCCCCCCCTAAACCCTACACCCTAAACCCTAAACCCCAAAGCCCTAAAGCCCCAACGCCCAAGCCCTAAGGATCCCTTAGAGGATCCCCTTAAAGGAACCCTATGCTTAAAGGATCATGGGACATAGTAACTAGGGTTTCAAATCAGGTAACTATACTTATAAACACTTATAACCCCAATTAGTGGGCTTATAACCTTACTTACTAAGTCCCCTGAACCTCCAAGTAGTACCCTAAACCCAAAACCCTATAGATCCCTTTAAAGAACCCTATATAGATCCCTTAGAGGATCCCCTTAAAGGAACCCTATACATCCCTTAAAGGAACCCCTATAGATCCTCTAGAGGATCCCTTTAAAGGAACCCTATATAGATCCCGTTAAGATCCCTATAGATCCCTTGAAGGACCCCTTAAAGGAACCCTATATAGAAACGGTTAAGGAATCCCCATATATATCCATTCAAGGACCCCTTTAAGGAACCCTATAGATCCCTTTAAGGACACCTTTAAGGAACCCCTATTATAGGGATTCCCAAAGCCCCAACGCCCTGCCTTGCGGATGGTTTTGTGCGTCAACTGCAGCTCCACGTTGCGCCGATTTCGCTCCGGCCTCGTTTTCCCGTGGGGCGGCCGGGGGGTTCCTTTTAAGGGAACTGTAAAGGCTCCTTTAAGGGATCTATAGGGGTTCCTTTAAGGGTTCTTTTAAGGGTTCCTTATAGCGTTCCTTATGGGGATCTATAAGGGTTAGGGTTTATCGTTTAGGGTTTCGGGTTTAAGGCTTAGGGGCTCTTGCAAAGGCTCCTGTAAGGGAGCTATAAGGGTTCGGATTTAAGGGAACTATAAACGCTCCTTTAAGGGATCTATAGGGGGCTCCTTTAAGGGTTCCTTTAAGGGTTTAAGGGTTAGGGTTTAAAGGTTCCTGTAAGGGTTCCTTTCAGGGTTCTAATGGGATCCAATGTAGGAGTCTGATTAAGAAACCCTGGCCCCTGTCACCCCCAAATAGTAGGATTCATATAAGGAAGCCGAATAAAGACCCGGGATATCTTAATCAGGCTCCTACATTAGAGGTTCCTTCAAGGGCTCCTTCGAGGGATCTGTATGGGTTCCTTGTCAGGGATCTACAAGGGCTCCTTCAAAGGGATCCATAAAGGTTTAGGGTTTTCGTTTAACGTGTAATGCACCTTTGACTCCTGCAGGCAGAGTGCACAGGGTTTAGGGTTCAGGGTTTGGGGCTTAGCTTACCTTTAGTTAGTAGGGAATGGAGGAATGGGGTATCGTTATAACTACTGCTGCCACTACTACTACTACTACTACTACCATTCTTCCATTCCCTACTAACCAAAGGTAAGATAAGGGCTCCTTCAAAGCGATCTATGAAGGTTTAGAGGTTTAGGGGGTAGGCTTCAGGGATTGGGGCTTAGGGGTGTCCCCCGCGCGCCTCTGCTCCAGAACAACAGGCTGCAGCTGATCTAGCAGAAACTCCTCCGGGGACGATGACTTCAGGAGGATACCGGAGAATCATGCAGTTCACGGTTTAGGGTTTAGGGTTTAGGGGGTCGACGTGTATGTCTTCGTATGTAGTATGTTTGAAAAGAATATATGTATATATGTACATATGTACATATACATATGTACATATATACAGTCTGGTACTGACATTATGAATGATGGAAATACATATATGCGAACACGTATACGAATGAACATGTGTATACATGTGTGTGTGTGTATATATATATATATACATATATATATATTTATTTATAGAGATAGAGATAGAGAGAGAGATATGTACATAGGCCATGCAGTGCAAAATTTTTTGTGTATACATATATGTACATGTGCACACGCATGCATACATGCGTACACTGCGTACACACATATCTATATACACATTTATGAATAAAGGAAGATGTATGTACAGGCAGGTGCGTTTGTGCTACACTATACCCATGTATCCACGTCCATACAAACATACGTACATACATCCATGCCCATATACACATATATGTCTGTATACATTTCTATATGTTAGTATCTCATACTGTTCTTTACGACGTCAAAGGAACCTCTATACTCTATATGTACTCTGGCACTGCTGCAGCGCATTGCGGGCAGTCATGTTCTTTAGGGTTGGACTTGTTCTACAGCACAGGGCTCGGTGAAGCACGGGGACATTGTGAAAGCTATGTTTATGACAATACCAACAGTAGTGACAATATTCATGATAACAATCATACGCATCAACAGCAGCAAAGACAATTAGCAATAGTGATAAGTGTTAGAAATAGTGATCGTACTAGTAACAATAGTAGCAGTCGTAGCAGTAGTAATAGTAGCAGTAGTGGTGGTAGTAGTAGTAGTAGTAGCAGCAGGAGTAGTAGTAGTAGTAGTAGTAGTAGTAGTAGTAGTAGTAGTAGTAGTAGTAGTAGTACTAGTACTAGTGGTAATAGTAGTAGTAGTAGCAGTAGTAGTAGTAGTAGTAGCAGTGGTAGTGGTCGTAGTATTAATAGTAGTAGTAGTAGTAGTAGTAGTAGTAGTAGTAGTAGTAGTAGTAGTAGTAGTAGCAGTAGTAGTAGTAGTAGTAGTAGTAGTAGTAGTAGTAGCCGCCACAAGTGCTCAAGCGGCCGCGCTGAATGAGAGGTTACGAACAGGCTTGGGGCGCAACTACTGTGCTAGAGGTTCCCACCGGGCCCCTTTTCTGAACAGTAAAGGTTTGCGCCTCCTTCTACGCCATGGTCCTCTCCCTTTTCAAACAGGAGCTGCTTTGAGCCGCCAGGTCCCAATTCCTGGGCCCAGACACTGTTTAAAACATTGAATCGCTGGGTAGGCGGTAGGGTTTCCACTTCCGCGCAGTGGAGGGAGTCATTAGGCTTCTGTCTCTTGACGAAAGCAGCGGATGGCGCAATTGCCAGTGCACTCACAAAACTTTGCATCTCTTCGAAAGAATTCGTTCAAGTCAGCATGTAGAAGGACAATATGTAGAGACGGACCCGTGCCATACCGAGGGCAGGTCTTGACACCTACCTTAGTCGATCGTCTAGGGGTTCGTCCCCCGCCAACAAGAAGAGAGCTTCAGTCACAGACTGCTGACTCGCCTGCATATGGCACAGCCTCTCGCAGGGCAGGCCGGTTGGAAAGATCCATCCGCGTCATTTCGTGGAACGCGGGACACCTAGGTCAACAGCAATGTGGCGAACTCAAAACGTGGCTAGCAGCTGAAGCCTCCCATCACTGCGACGTCCTCATATTACAGGAAACGCACTGGACTGAGACCAGTGAATTCAGTGTTTCTGGTTGGTACTGTATCACTTCAGCCTCGGAGTCTACCAAACCAAATACCCGGCCTCAACAGGCTGCGAAACGTAAAACTCGGCAAGAACCGCGAGCTCCATCCACGACCCGTGCTGATGGAGTCATGATCTTATTCTCGCCCAAGTTCGCTCCCAAGAGCTTACGCTGGAAGGAGTGGAGCCCGGGTAGGGTCTTAGAAGCTCGTGCAGACATTGCAGGTACTCGGCTGGTTGTTGTCGCGGTGTACCAACATGCTTGGTCTTCTGCCAAGACCATCCAGTCCAACAAGGACGACCGTGCTAAGGTACTTTCCGTAATGTCCAAGGTGATCAAGCAGGTGCCTAAGAGAGACTCCCTTATAGTAGCGGGTGATTTTAACACTTCCCTACGTCCGAGCCCTCCATTGGTGGGAACGCAAGTGAAGCCGCCCACTGAGGATCGCCCTGACGAATCCAACTTGTTTAACCTGCTGCTCCGGATGCGTTTAGTTGCCCTTAACACCTGGCAATGTGACCAAATTGCCACCTTCTCACAAGTCGCAAATTGACTTCATTCTAACCAAAGAATCTACGGCAGGAGGCAAAGCAAAAAGGTCAGCCCCCTGGACGGCCTGCCCGTTGGGTAGCTGGAAGAAAGGAGGGCATTATCCGCTTAAAGCTGAGGTACCCCTCCAACACCACTGGCTGCTTCCACCCCACAAGGTCAGCATGCGCCGTTACGATTCACTAGCTCTACAGGCATCGGTCAGAGAGGAGGATGAGACGGCCAAGGCAATGCACAGCTGGATAGCTTCCAGAATTGACACCTGCCAGGACCCCACTGAATGGAATGCGTTGCTTTTGGAAGGTGCAGAACGCTTTTTTCCTACTAAAATCCCCAAAAGAAGACCGATCCCCTTGGAGTTGGAAACCCGTCGCATGTGGCGGGCCCGTACTCATGACAGGGTTACGAACACAGCTCCCTCAGCACAGCTGATCGAGTCACCTAAAGCAATGGCACAGCCTCCTAATCTGAACATGCCACGTCCGCCGGACACTGAAGCTGAACTGGCGCAAGTGGCACATCGCCAGGCCGTCAAACAAGCAAAGAAAGATAGGATTGCGAGTTTCATATCGGAGGTGGACGCGAGCCTGGCTGAAGGTGACCAACATATCTCCTTTCAGACCCTCAAAAAGCTGCAGCCTTGGCAGCCTGCGCGCAGAGCTCAGCTAAAGGACAACACAGGACATTTGCTGGGCCCAGCGCAGGAGCTAGCAGCACTCAGGGACTATGCAAATCAGGTATTTGCGGCCCACCCTCCGTTACGGTCTCTGCATGGAGCTTTCCCTGTTTTGGAGCCGTCCAAACTAGCAGCTCACATTCATTCTATTAAGCCTAATAAAGCTGTTCCCGACGGAGCTGCACCCGCGGCTGTGTGGAGACTGTGCAGCGACGTCGTCGCGCCGGTCCTCTCAAAACATGTAGCATCCAAACAGGCCGAGGACAGCTTAGAATCAGATCTCGTAGATGCTGATCTTTGCTTAATCCCCAAGCCGGGCAAACCTTCTGACAAACCGGCGAACTTGAGACCCTTGGGTATCCTTAGACCTGATGCTAAGGGACTGGCGGGAGCGGCCAGGGAAGCGCTTCAGCCACTGACCCTCTCGTTCCTCAAGCACATGCCACAGTTCGCTTATCTTCCAGGTCGGGGGCTCTCAGATGCGCTAGAACGCGTAGTGCATCACTTGCGCGAGGCTCGATCTCTGTTAGAGCAGGCCCACCCCACGAGACATGCCTTGCAACAAGGAACTCAGGCCCCTGGCTTAGTTGGCGGCCTCACCTTCGCTCTTGACCTAAGCCAAGCGTGTGACACAGTCTCTCGCCAAGAGATCATCGACCTTCTTCAGCGAGAAGGGGCCGATCAGGACACAGTCCACCTCGTTCAGGCTCTGCATGACGGGTCTCGTTATGTCCTTCACGCGCAAGGTGACTCCACCTCTGTCGAAACCACAGCAGGTATAAAACAAGGCTGTAAGCTAGCCCCCACTCTTTTCTCGTTCCTCACAGGCGACCTCTTCCGCTCTCTAGTCGACTTGTTCGGTGCAGAGCAGGTCTTAAAGTTTTTGACAGGATACGCAGATGACCTCACGCTCCATAGGACTATCCGCTCTGAAAAGGACCTCAAGGCCATTCACGCACTCATCGCAGCGTTACTTGAGGAGGTCCGAAAACATCGTCTCAGAGTCAACATAGGCAAGTGCGTCATTTTGGTGAAGTTGGCAGGTAGAGAAGCACAAGCTGTGATGAACAAACACGGCTGCTGGATCACTAACCCCAAAGGCGAGCAGGTTCGCGGATGGCGCATCGGGCCCAACAAATCGTTCCCCGCCTTCCAGTGGGTTTCCTGTAGCAAGTACCTGGGGGTTATGATCTCCTACAACCACTTTGAACTGCAGACATTGCATCACCGCATAGGGGAGGCCAAGCAAAAGCTGCATCAAGTTCGCCAATTTGTTTACAATCGTAGGTATGCAAGCACCATGTCGCGACTCAAGGTGTGGCAGAGCACAGTCCTGAGCACATTGACGACAGGCCTATCAGACGTAGGACTAAGTGAGGAGTCGGCCAAGCAGTTACGTAGCTGGCATGCTTACAAGGTGCGATCAGTGCTGAACTTGCCAGCACATACCAGTCGTATCACCACTAAGGACCTTTTCCAGCTCTACAGTATTCAGGATCCGGTCCAAGCAATGCAGACCAAGCTAAGGAAGCGACTCCGTAAACTGGAGCGACGCGCAGCTAGAAGCCCAGACATCACAACCGAGCACTCGGTTTTGCAGGTTATCCGGGACAAGCTGACTTTCCTATCACAGCTCCCCGAAGCAGCAGAACACCCGGTAGCCTTACATGAGTGCACACTCTGCGCAGCCTCCTTCGAGACAGCAAATGGATTACATCTACACAAGTCGAGAGTACATCCAGCCAGCATCGACCGATTTGTGCCCTCAAGCTTCGATAGAAAACTCCACGCAGTGGATGGGATGCCCGCAATGTGCTGCTTGCATGCGCAAATTTCATCAATGGAAAGGCCTGCGTGACCACTTGTTGTCAGGAGCATGCCCGGAACCCCAGAAGCTTCGATCTCTGAATGAGGCAGACAAACTCTCAAGTCACCCTGAGGTAAGGATCCTCTCCCAGTTGCGACAGGA